AATACTTTTCGTTAAGTTTGATATGGAAATAAATTATACTAATAAATTCTAGACTACATTATTCTAACTATTTAGGAGAAGTAGATTTTATTCGTATGTTACTTTGAACGATTTGTAATTAGATTTGTTGCTTTAATCCTCACAATTCATTATCTCATGCTATTCTTAGCAAATACACGAAATTAACAGCATCTTGCGATCTAAATATAGATCGAACCAGTCAGTAGTATACATGCAGTGATCCCGTTACGTTTAAATTTGATTTTTTTTATACATATTAATTTTGACCTTTCAAGCAAATTTAATAGGTTCACATCCGACAAAACCAGTTTTGCACGTTCTTTACAGATTATAGATAACTAACTATGGTTGCACATATATAGAATATTTCACAGTAATAATAAAACGTAGCAGGAATTGTATTATTATACGTATTATCTACAGGTATGTTCCATTTTGGTATGACTACAAGAAGAAAACTGAACATGACAATATTATATTTCTGAATAGTGTCGTTTTATGATAATAATAATAAAACAATGTAATATTATAGAAGCCATAGCGACTAAAACAAATAAAAGTAATTATAACAATGCGTTTGGTTTGTAAAAAGTCAGTAAAAAAAGTCAGAGTAATCACTCGCAAAAAAAAAAAAAATAAACATTGTAGTAGGTTTCTCTATCATAATGCAGTGCTAAATTACTATCAGTCATACATTGACATAAGCTTAAATGCTGTATTAATAAAATATTTTTCATTAAGATTATTTTTATTCCAAGAAGTAATTTTCATTTTTTTGGGATATAAATATTTTCATCAATACGTTGATAAAAAGTCTTCCTAATAAGAGAACTTTTAAACGATGACGAGAGACTGTAATTTTTATAAAAGATCAATATTTGTAAAACCTGAACTGTATGAATACCAACTAGATGAGAATCGATGGAACGACCACTGCACGTAAAAGATAACAAGTGGTATCCAAAAAAAAGGGTTAACAAAAAATAATAGAGTAAACATTTTGTAAAGATGTTGAAAACGATTGGCAAGAACTAACTGGCTTAAAGGCATGCAGTTTGAAAAAAATATCACGCCTATTATACCAACAAAAGGTAGTGAAGATACTCGAAACACTGATGGGATCGTACGATAAAAAAGATTTAATGGACGGTTGTAAAATGTTGGTATCCAAATTAATTATCTTCAATGCGATTATGCGCCTAACTACGAAGAACAGGTAAAATAAAAACCCAATTATTTAACAAAAAGATAATCTTTTATTATTTGCTAAAACTCTCATATAGATAGATGATGAAACATAATATATTGATTATTTTATAAACATTAAATGACGGTAAATTAAATATAATATATACAATTGAAAATAACTTAGAAAAAATTATCCAAATAAATAGAAAAGACAAATGTAGGAAAAAGCTGAAAAAATATTTATATGCCAGTCAGTTTTTAAAATGATATTATCAAAACGAGTTTTAGTGAGTTCATTTCACAGCTAAAGAATTTTATCATTTTTGCGCACTAAATAAATAATATTTTAATCTATGGCATTCGGTGCTATTGAAATAATTATATCTATATTAAGTACTTTTAGAAATTCTAACTTTATCGGACGTAATTTAAAAATTAATAATTCTTTATCATCTTAGAAAAATTTGTTGGTGATTTGGCAATTAATTTCTAAATGGTAAAGACAATAAATCACACATGGTGAAAGACCAAAAATCAATACACAGTTAAAAACTACTGAATTCGGATTTCTTCAACTTCTAATTGAAATAAATTAAAATAGATTGCATATATTGCAATTGAACCATTAATGGATATTAGGTATAAAAATAAATAAAAAATTTTTCATAAAATCAGTCAACTAAATTACTCAATTATTATAAGTGGTATAATCTAGAGACGTATTTATGAAGGGGCACCAAATTCATGCGATACGATACAATACTTTTNTGTAAGGGGCACCAAATTCATGCGATACGATACAATACTTTTTACTGAAAATGGTAATTTATAAAAGATGAATATCTACTATATTGTTACTATACATAAAATCATATAAAAATTTCTTTAGCTCTCCGCCTCACTAAAATAAGAATTAATTAAATATGCGCCAGGTTCAGTTAAATGCATTCCAAAGAAAAGTTATTCCAATACAATACGAAAAATTTCACAATAGTACGAGCTTTTAAAATAGTATTTAGATCTTTTTCATATTAAAATGTACAAACAAAAAAATATGATGTTTACTAATGTTTCAGATTCTATAATTCGAAAAATATAACTTACAATAACTTGCCTAAATAAAATCAATATGAAATGCACTGAAAAAAATATCATTGGTAGTATAAAAAAAGATTGTCTTGTTAGCACTCAGCAATAGTTAAATTGTTGAACGGTGAATTGTTTTCCCTATTAACAAGTATAAGGTTAAATAGAATATTATAAGATTTAATTAAAAAACAAAATAATTATTAGTGCATATACTTGCTCGAATATAGTTTTTAAAAGCGAAAATTTTCAAACAAAATAAGAAAGAAATATACTTAACTTTTTGTTTGCCATAAAAATTGACATCTCCAGGAAAATTTAGATTAATGTTATATCACTGTTACGTGCCTTATGTTTACTTTGATAAACATTGTTTTAATGTTTACTTGTAATTCAATTATTTTATCGTTAAACTCAAGGTACTGGTCATGGTATTGCACATCAAAATTGTCACTAAAGACCAATTTGTGTTTTAAGTCTACATATTTCTAGAAACTTATAAAGTGAAACATTTAAAATATCAATGTTTTGTTAAAATCATTTTAATCATAACATGATATTTAATCAAAATTATTTACTTCGATTTAATGATTCCATTAAAATATTATATTGGTTTCTGTTTAAAATGTGTAATGTTGATTTTTTAAGGGTAATATCATTTTTATTTAGACATTTTTATTAAGTTTTGTCAAAAAACTAGAATAATGGGAATCCGGCATAGTGGAGATATTTTCTTGGAGGTACGTCACTGGTAATTTATAAAAGTTCATCGAGCTTTTTATTATGGTTTTAATAGTGATAATGTTCATATTATTTACGATTTATAATATATTATTGTTTAATAAGTATTATAAAAATGAAATTTCGTCCAGGTTGACGCCATAATAATATTTATACACATGAAATAGGATAGATATTTATGCAAAAGAATTTTGACTTAAATAGAGTATTTTCTTATCTAATAATTAATCATTTAAAGATATATACCATTAAGGAATGTGCAAAATAATTTGTTTAAAAAATTACTTGATACAATCTTAAATTACGTTCAGAAATTTTTGACCAATGAAATAATAGATAATATTTGATGTTTTGTTTATGTCTATTATTTCGAAAAGATAATAAGCTTAACCAAATGAGTTGTAATACAGGCAATTTTTGAAAACTCAAAAAGCTTGAAAAATTAATATTGTTTTTATAATAAAACTATGTAAACATCAATTTAATAGGTAGGTTAGCGAAAAATAATTATTTTGTTTTACATTGGATTTTACTATAAAATATTAGATGTGTAAAACTAGTTTTAATTATGAAAATTCTTTAAAATCTTTGTAATATAAAAAATATCTATTTATTTTGATAGTATATCAATTAAAGTTATGTTAACTAATATTATTAAAGAGTTTTGTATTATTTAATATAGGTCATCCGCCCTAAAAAAATACCTTGGTAAATTACAGTTTAAGATATCGGCTTAATTACATAAGAGGGAGCAGATAAAAAAATTAAAAATTTTTATTATTATTGTACACCTAGTTACAGTTATAAATATATAGTGTACGATGGAAAAAAAAATTCAACGTAATCTAATGTGTGTTAATTAAGTTATACAAATTTGAGCACTAAAAAAGAACTTTTTACATTTCTAATAAATTAAAAAAAGATATCACAAAAACATAAATTAAATTATTTAACCTAAAATAATTATAAAAAATTATATTATTATTGTAAACCTCTAAGTTAAATGTATGAATTCAATACTGTAGTTAGTAAAGTCCCACAGACGTAACTAGTAAAATTTAAAACATATTTATGAAACATAAAACCCAACCATTTGTAATAAATCTAATTATATTAATTTTTTACTATTAAAGGTATTACATTTAATACTTATACTTTCATTAATACTTACAGGTTTCTAAAAAAAATTAATTGAATTTCTTTATACAAATTAAAAAAACTAAAAAACTAATCAATGAATTAATTTAGAAAATATTACTATCTAAAAAAATGTATTCTAAAATTTTTGTAGTATAACCACTTGTTTAAAACATTTTTTAATTATGATAATAAGTAAAGTTTCTTTATAATTAATTGTTTGAATACTTTGGTATTCAGTACATTAGTTTGAAATTTGCTTTGTATAAAATTACACATAAAAAACTTTTAAAATACTCAAAAAATAAAAATTTAAACGAATCTTAATTTTATATTTTAATGCTCTAGAAATATTCCTAATAAATTTTTATATGTTCGTTGCTAAATACCTGTTAAATTTTCTTTTTTAAAGAAGCAAATTCATCGATTTTTGAAAACCCCGAATGAGCTTAAAATGTGAGCTGCTACTACTACTGGTTAAAAAGTTATGCATTTTAACACATAACTTTGTAATATGTGTCTAATAATTTTTATTCGATCATATTTACTGTATTACGACTAGATACTTAATACTTAGTGTCGTTTATATAGCCTTCTTTTGAGTTCTATGAATTCTTTAAATATGATAAATTACAAAAAATCGCATGTAAATTTTTAATATATTTGAAGAGAATTAAATAGTTAATAATTAAGTATTCAACCATTACAGTTCTATTTAATGAACACTTAAGAGTGGCAACAGTGATACCATATGCATTCGTACAAGAGAATGAGGCTGTTACTGGGGAGGTGCGGAGTGGGGTGCGGAGTTACTTATAAAGAGGTAGTCCAACGTGTGCGCAGCCTTACACAAGTAACACGCGCAAACCTGATCACAAGTTTTTATATACGCCAAACAGTATCAAATAGTGAGTGGTGAAACGCGAAGACAACAATATATTTACCGCCTAACAAACCTTCTCTGGAGCATTTTTTTATTCGAGCACAGTTTCTACACAAACTTTATTCAGGTAAATATATCGAGAAAAAACAAAAATAATAATGATATAGATATAAATGTAAAAATAGAATATAAAATAAATAACATTTTCAAATTTCCAATAATAAATCTTAGAATTCAGTAATTCAAAAAAAAAAAAAAAAAATTTTGGTTAAAAAGCTTTATACTCCAGAATAAAATAAAAAAACAAAATTATTGAATTTTAAAACATTAATTTAGTCAGTTTAAAAGTTAGCATATTTTATTTAGTCTAGTTTTATTTAAGTTACAATAGATATCAAAGTTTATTATACTAAAAATATTCAATAAAATAAAATCTACATTTAAAAAATGTATTTAATTTTTTATTAACTTGAAATATTCTTCTAAGAAAATGATAAAATACTACTACAAAATTTTATGTATAAAAATATTATTATTGATACAATAATACGATATTTACGAATTGCTGAAAAGTGTTCATGTTTATATATATTTACAAGTCAATTTTAGTTAAGCAAATATTACATAAATACCTTGATAGTATACTTAACAAGAAGAAAGTTCAGTATTTAATGATACTATTGAAGTTATATTTTAATATAGAAATCGATTTTAGATATAAATAAATGCCTAATGATGAAATATTAACGTTTTTTGATTTAATATTTAAATAACATAAGAAAATTTTATTCATTACTTATAGTTAAAATAAATTTACAATATTTTTTAAGCTAAAACTTTTACATAAATCCTACAGTTATAAATTTTAGATCATGAAATTATTGATTAACTCTTGTGAAAAGCATAAGTATAGATCATTCACGAAAGGTCTGAATGCATAATCTCTAACCTATTATTTTAATTATAATTCGATTTCATGTAAGAAAAAATTATAAGGTTAATTTTTTTCATGATATTATTTGCTCTTATTTATTTATAGTTATATAGACTGTCGGCGGATTAATTGACGTAGCCGTAAGCAACATTTTATAAAAAAAAATTTGGATTCAGTTGATTTGAAGTGTTCAAAGGTTATATTTTAAAAGTTTCGTTAAAGCCTACTAATCTAAAAATAGTCGATATCTGTACAAACGTATATAGAATGGATAAGATATTTTTTATTAATTAACTAATGATGAAATTTTTTTTTCCTCGCCTTAATCCCAACTACTTGGGGTCGGCCAAAATTAATGAAATTTACAAATTAAAAATATTATAATATCATCTGTAAATACATTCAAATGTTCACTTAAAAAAATGTAGATTATACTAAATTATACTTAATATTAAATGATTAATAATTTTTAATAACTATTGATGAATGAAATTTTTTAACAAGCTATTTTTTTTAGAATGAAAACTATAATCTTAGGATTATGCTTGTTCGGAGCACTTTTTTGGAGCTCTCAATCTATGCCAGTCAGTGATGTCGTGCCACCTGCTGTACCTTCTGATACCGAAGTTGATTCTCAAAAGCCATTAGTCTCTAATTCAGAAAATGTTGCTGAAATTCCAGCAAACGATGCTAATCCTAAATCTGATGTCAAACCCGAGGCTGAAACTAAGCCTGCTGCTGAAGCCAAACCCGTAGATGAAATTAAACCTTCAGATGCTAAATCTGAAAGTGAACTAAAATCTACAATCGAAGAGAAATCAGAAATTGCTAAGAGCGATTTACAAAAACGAAATGAATTAGTTCAAGCATCAAGTGCTCCCGCTGAAGAAAAAGAAATTAAAAAAGAAAAAATCACATTGGCTGATGCTGTAGAAGGCCCAAGATCCGATCTTGAAGCTCCATCAGCATCTGAAACTAAATCTATCAGTGAAACTAAAGCTGAACCAGAAGCCATAAAACCTAATAATGAAGTACCAGTTGCTTTACCACTGAACCCCACTGAAGCAAAGGACACTAAGTCTGCAACATTGACTGATATTAAACAAGAAGAAAAAGCAGCCGCAGCTATATTGGCAGATCCTATCCCAGCTGCTGCTACAGCTCCCATACTTCCTGTTGCTGAAGAACCAAAGCTTTCTGAATCCATACCTGTATTGGACACCAAGATACCTGATCAATCAGCTAAACTTTTGGAATCTGAATCAATTAAGCCAGCAGAAGACACTATAACAGCTGCCAGTGCTATTTCTGAAACTAAAGTAAATCCCTCAGTGCCCGCCGCTGATGCACCTGCTTCCTCAGAGGTAGATCAAACCAAGCAACCTAGTCCAGCTCCTTCAACCGTAATTGAAGTTGAATCAAGTGAAAACAGTCCCAAATCTGAAGCTATTCAACCCGCAATCATCCCAAAGGAAGAAAAAAAACCTATCGAAGAAGTTAAACCAGCCGAACAACAAAGATCTGAACCTCAAATAGAAGAGACCAAACCAGCTGAACAACCAAAATCAGAAACTAAGCCAGCTGAACTACCAAAATCAGAAACTAAACCAGCTGAACTACCAAAATCAGAAACTAAACCAGCTGAACTACCAAAATCAGAAACTAAGGCAGACGCAGCTAAGCCAGCAGAACAAACAAAATCTGAAATTGAGCCAGAAGCTGTTAAACCAAACGAAGAAAAAAAGTCCGAAACTGCATCCAGTGATGAGAAAAAAGAACATTCAGTAAATAAACGTGATGCTCTTAAGGAAAAAAAACTCACTGAAACCTATAAGAAGGAAGATAAAAAACAAAAACAAAAGAAAGCAAACTAATTTATCCAATTGACAAAGACTGAATAGCAACACAAAACGAATCATCCACCAAACGGGTTATATAAATAACAACCAGGGGAAACACTAAAATAACTATAATTCAATTTTCAAAGACAAATTTTGAATTTCATAAAAACAAAGCAGGTCAAGTTAACACGATTAGCGTCATCTTCGTGGAAAAATCACTCTTAGATTTGTTTAGGTATAATTAGGTTAATTAAAATTATTTATTTATTCTTTTTATAATTTATAAAATAATTATCTTTTTTTATTGATTTGTAATAGAATCATGAATTGCTATTTATTCAGTCATTTTTTCTGTGTGATATCATATTATAAAATGTATGAGTTATAAATATAGGCTACCTATTTATAATAATTTATATGAACAAACATTGAAACTATACTAGTTTAAGATATTTAGTAATTATGTTGTTATATAATAGTGATATTATGTACTTATTTTATTTGATGATGACAAGTAGTCATCATTAATAACAATAGTGTATTACTATACATATTTATTATACGATTTTTAAATCTGTCAATAATGATCATTTCATTTTTTACAAAATTCGACTAATTTTCAAAAATGAAAACCACATCAGCTAACATTCATGTACTCGACATATACATCTATTATCTCAATTAAAATATAATTTGACGCTTAAAATAATGTGCTTAATTTAGCATTATACATTTAAGTAAACATATATTTTGAATTTAGATAAGAAAAACCTCCGAGTTTATACAAGTCGTATACAATCTAAATTTTTTGCATAATTTTAGGAATTATTTAAGTAAGACCCAGGTACAACAAGGTCATACGTTCAAACTCTCCCCTTAAATTTAACACAATAATAGATTTACTGTAAAATTTAATTTTTGTCAATAAAAACAAATATTATATTTGGCACACAACACAATTGTTAAATATAACCAACAAATTATCAAATATTACTAAAAAATAGTCGATTAAAATATAACTTTTTATCAAACAGAAATATGGAAAGGCGTTTTAGATAGGCAATTAAAAAGCATTCATGACTTCATAAAATTAATTTAGTTAAAAAATTTGTTAGTAAGCGCGGATTCAAACACTTTTAATTATTAAAAAACAATTCTTACGATATTTTTTCACTAGGAATTTCATTTTACTAGGTGACTGATGATAGTCGAATTAAAAATTACTATTATTACATTTAGAAAATAATTTTAACATAAAATTGAAGGTAATTTAATTTAGTATTTAACCAACAAATATTAATTTATAAAACAAATTAGAAACATTTATGATTTATTACGTAATAATAATAATTCACTATAATGAAGAAATTAATTGCTAACATAATATTTTAACAATTATTTTCCTTAGTAATTTAACAGAAAGGAAACAATCTTGAATTTTCAAGTTATTAAGTGATAACACCTGTGTTATCATTTAATAAAATTAATTGTTGTAAGACATTCTAAATAATATTCAAGTACAAAAAGCAGTGATGATAGCAAGGTTGGATTTAAGGCTCATAACCTCTCTCCGAAATAGAAGCAATTCTTAAATAAATTTTTTTTTTTTTGATCATCAAGTTCATTTCAGATACTTTTTATTGAAAAAAAAATTTATTTATATATTTATTTTAAGATAATCGCTCGATTTATAACTTTTAAAAATTAAAGTTATTTAAAAGTATGAGATTTTTTATTGTAAACTTTGGTAAAAGAAACAGTTTTTAGAAAGTCTATCACAATATTATAGTTACTAGAAGGTCAAATAGACCGGTTTTGAAAAAGAATATTAAGTTCAAAACTGGTTATTCACCTTAATAAAAATTTTTCAATAATAATTGTATTTTAAATGGAATATTAAACGTGCAAACTACCACCTATAGATTATTAACTATAAAGTAATGATGATAATGATACAATGAGATTATAAAGGATAATAAAGTATGCTATGAGAAAAAAATTATCAAATCTAAAACTTTATAAAATAAATTAATTTATAGTAAACTGTAATAAGATATTTTTTGTGAGATAGATTTGAAAACTCATATAGTCGACATAAATTAATTTTTTACAATACCATCATAATAAAATTACTTAGGTATTGCCAAACAATATTACAGTCATACTAAATCTATATACTTAATAGTCTAAAAGTTTTTCATAAAATGCTTTTTTTTTACTTTGCAATAGATCAGTTTAATAATTGCAATACTTCTCCTGAAATGGATAAAGAACTGCCTAGTTTGAAGTATGTATGTTAAACAAACCTCTTCTATGACATATTTAAGAGATCAAGGAGACTAAAAAATTGTCAAAACTCAAAGCAGTAAACGACTATGGCCCTATATATCATAGTTATCACAAATACATCACAAATGGAGGTCATTATATCTCTAAAAGGCCCATAAAAGCATAAAAACAAAGTAATTTCTTTTAATGATATTAATCATTAATTTTCCTTTACTATACCTATATAAAATATTTTTTGGATATCACATTTAAACTATAAAACTAAATAATTTTTAAAATTGATTATATTGGGTAGTTACTGATTTGTTATAACAACATACCTGATTAGTAAGCATTTGAAATAATAATATACCAGCTGACCACCAATCAACTGCGTGATTGTAGATTCCTGATTGTAATATTTCTGGTGCTTAAATATGACAATTTTTTTTATTTATTATGAACTTTTACTATTAATATAAGATAATTTACTAATTACCCATATATTGAGACGTTCCACAAATTGTTCTAGTAGAACAGCCTATTGGTAACCATTTAGATAAACCAAAGTCAATTAACTGAAAGTATCCATCATTATCTAGTAAAATATTTTCGGGTTTTAAATCTCTATATATAACACCAGCATTATGTAGAAAATCTGCCAAAAATAGAAAACTTACTTTTTATTTAAATATTTAAAAAATTTTATATTTATCAAAAAGTTCATTTGTCAATTTTAAAAAATTATGTAGGATTAATATTGTCAAAGGAAAGAAATATATTTATTTTTTTTAATAATGAATAAAAAACAGGAACATATTCAGAACTTCTTCTAGGCATACTCGACTTTTCATCAAAAGAAATCATTTTTTTTTTTTTTAACTCCTAAAAATAAAATTATTATATGTATTATAATTATTATTATACTAAAAATTAAATAACTCCAGAATTTTCAGATTTATGATAACTATATGTATGATAAAATACAGTGATTTTGAATGGGGTACATTAACTAAGACTGGTGGAATTTCAAATCCACATACTGGTATTCTGTATTAACTTCATTACCAGTTATATCTAACAACTGAAAATTTCAGTAGTTCTAGTAAGTACTATTTTTTGATAATCATTATTCATTATTGATAATTAAAATTTCATTGATATTTGACATATTTATATATTTATCAGTACTAGCTGATAATTTAATATAATTTTATGAATATTGTATTACTATGTTGTTTTATTTATGCCAATTTCCAAAGAATGTGCAGCAACAATATTAAAACGATTGCCATAAATTAAATTATCCAAAGAGACCCATGTTATTAACTAATAATTATGATTAATTTGTAAGTTTGTAAATAATACTATATTACTTAATAATTCTTTTAAATACCTAAAATAATTATTATTTCAGCTAAGTAAAAACGGCACAATTTTTCCGGCAAATACTTATATTTTGATATCAAATTTGATAATTCTCCTCCTTCCACATAATTACTAACTGAAATATGAAAATAATTAATATTTATACTATAAGTAATAATTTAACTTGATAAATTTATAATATTTTTAAATTCATTTTATTATTATATTATTGTGATGGATCGATAGATATATTACCATTAGGTGGGTAAATATTTACGGACTTTTTCTGAGTTTACATCTTTAAGTTATTTACCCACCCCTTTATTAAAAAAAATAAGTTGTAATATTAACTTCAATGCAAAGCTGAAAAGGTATTTTTACTATTTATTTTAATGACTATGCTAATTCAAAATAATTAATCATTTGCTTATCATGTTTTTAATAACAATATTTTTTTTTAAATATTAAATATAAATATAAAGCATGCCATATTTTATTATTGAAATACTTCTTTTTTTTAACATTAATATTTTGGGCATTTTTTTGTTTTATGATAAAATTATAAGTATTATTAGAAAAAAAAAAAATTGTTTACTCTTACAATTTCAATATTGTCAGAAATAATATATAAATCATGATTACATAGTAAATAATTAGTCAAATAGCATTTTATATATAGTCTTTGTTTCTTCTTTTATCAATAATATTTGTTAAAATATCCAGCGTATTTACCCTAAACTCAATTTACCAGGTATAACTTATCACTAATTGTGATTGATTTATTTAAGCAAAGCATCATTGAATAGATACAAACAGTTAGAAGACTGAAAAATGTTTAAATTATGTAAGATAGATTATTTTAATATTACTAGTATATGGCGATTTTTTCGCCTTATTGGGAAATAATTAAGATATTGTGAAACAGTATTACATAAAACTAATAAATATAGCAGGCAAGTGTGGTCTAAAGATCAACGACAAAAAAACGGAGTATGTCAAATTGGGCAAAGGAGTAGAGAATACTGACAAGAAGAGGTTATAGAAGTAGAGCACCATAAGTTTAAGAGGTTGCCACACGTTACATACCTAGGATCTTATCATGGATAAGATAATGAGCTGAAGATGGAGGTGAACACAAGGATACAAATAGGAAATAGATGTTATTTTGGCCTAGGAAGTATGTTTGGCTTAAAAATCTTATTAACAAAATTAAAAATACAATTGTACATGACCTTGATAAGACCAGTATTTTTAGATGGTAGTGAGACTTGGACTTTAAGAAGGGTAGAAGAAACTAGAGTTGCAGNTTAAAAATACAATTGTACATGACCTTGATAAGACCAGTATTTTTAGATGGTAGTGAGACTTGGACTTTAAGAAGGGTAGAAGAAACTAGAGTTGCAGTGTCTGAAAGGAAAATTCTAATTAGAATTAAAGACCATATATCGACTCTAACACTGGGGAATAGAGGGTATGCTACAATGATGAATTGAAGAACTTGCTTTAAAAACCAGATATTATTGTAAAAATTACAAGGAAAAGATTAATATGGACTGGGCATACTCGGAGAAAAGAGAGCTCATTTATTAAGGTGGTTATTAAAGAAAATATGATTGGGAAAAGACCATTTAAAAGACTGTGTTTACGATAGGAGGATCGTATCAAAAAAGATGTTAAAGCAGTAGAACCAAATGTACAATAAAGAGAAGTTGCAGAAGATAGAGAAAGATTGTGGTAAATTTGTTTGCAGGGTTAGTCTTGAAGGCCATAACCCACAAAAAAAGATTATTTTAATGTGTTTAAAAATATGAAATTTATCTTTAAAATCTTTAAAAGTAAAACTCCAAGAAAATACATGTTAAAATTAATTCTTTACTACAATGAAAATGAAAAAAATATATTTGTAATATAACTACCCTTTTTATTTATATTATAAATAAAAGTTAATTCTGAATAATAAGATATTTTTATAATTAAAATAGCAACTAGTTTATCCTAAGGACTATATATTTACTAATTTAACAGTGTTCATTGCTTCATTACATTTTTTTTTTATTGTATAAATACTATACCCTATATAATTATTATATATATAATAACTTTATAATTTATTGTATAAATACAAGATAATACTTCTAAAAATGTAGCCAACTACTGAAATTTTGCTACAAATAGCTTCCTACTCCGAACTACTAACAGCTACAAGGAGATCAATTGCTATAATAAATTTTTAATTGACATAATCACTAATTTGAAAACAATATATTTTTATACCTATTACTGTTTATTTACCAATAAACAGTTGTTTCCTGCTTTGCCAATAAAATGAACAGCTTATAATAAAAGGATGATGTCCACATATAGACTGAATTTGCACTTCATTTTTCACTTGTTGTACTCCATTTTGTTCAATTATCTAAAATAAAATATCTTAGTGAATATTATTGAATGTTAAATAAATAGAACTTTAAAGTTACATGAGTTATATTTTATATTACTGTCATAAATTTTTAAATTATTTTTTCTCAAGAATAGGATTTTTTAGCTTCAATGCAAACCTGAGAAGGTATTAATTTTACTTTGATATGTTTATTTTATTATGATTTTTTTTTTTGTATCTGTTACCACTTTTTTAAAGCTCTCACCGAACTAATTTCTTTCAACGATACGTCAAAAGATCACAAATCATATATAGTCGAAGACATTACCATCAAAAATTGAAAAAATTTCCCTCGTTCCCCGTAAATGAGGGAAACCTCCAAAAAAATTACAAATTTAAAAATCGCTAATTTTCGAAATTTTTTTTATTTAAAACTGTCATAACTTTTTCAAAAATGAACAAATCAATATAATTTTTATTTATAGATGCGGAAGATGTATCATTTTGTATATATATTTTTTTTAATTTGATCCTTACCTGCCCACAGGAAGGGATACAAAATGATAACTTTTTCAACTTAAATTTTGAAAGTGTCCCGGAAATACTGACACTTTTATATATACCTTAAATTAAAGCATATATAATATACTTTAGTAAGGAAAAAAAAAATTTCGAACTTCATTTTGTCTTTATGATGAAAATTTCTACCGTATGCTATTTTTGTGATAAAATTTTTGATTTTGTATTTTATTTTATTTTAAAATACTTTACAAAAATTTATGAGTTAGAAAAAAAATTTTAAATTATTTGAATTTTATTTCATTTAGATTCAATAACTTTAATAAAAATCAAGGACCTCATTACTGTAGTCTCCCCTTGTTTGAAAACATTTTTTATTTATATTAAAGATTTTTTACTATATGATTTTTTAGTTAAAGTAAATCATTAATTATGATTAAAAATTATGATAAAAAATTAATTATGTTCTGAATATTTCAATTGTAGAATATTCTTAATCACCAAAAATTACTTGGAAATGATTACTATGATTTCTATTTTAATCTATTACAATATAAATTCAAAAAAAATATTGAGCTTTTCTGATAAATTTATAGTAAATAGTAATTATACAATTTCCTGATTGCATATTAACTATACAATTTTTTTATTCTCATGAAATTTTTTATTTATAATAATATAAATTTCAAACTTGAAGTTGAGCTTAAAGTTATGGTAACAAATTCAACTTTTTTTACTATAAACTTTAAAAAAAAAATCAACTTTAAAATACCAAAAAAATAAGTTAAAAATTATATTTTGCACTGATTATTTTTAACATATTAAAATAAAAATCTGTAATAATTTAAAAACAATTTTTTTATGTTTTTAATTATTTTTTTATTGTAATAAATTATTTCAAAACAAATATTAATAATTTCTATCTAATTCTTGGTGATACAATATATGATACAATTGAAATATTTATAACTATTTAAAAAGTATCTTTTTTACACTGATGTAAATTTTTTTTCAGACCATTTTTTCATAATTAACAACAAAAATTATTATCAAAAAAGTTCTGTGTCAAGTCCTTCAATTTTTATACATGTTTGCTGTAAAAGTAATAACTACTTTATAATTTTTTATAAATTCTCCGAAAAAATTACAATACTAAATTATTAAATATCAACTTCATACTACGTTGAATTATTTTAATAGATATTTATTCATAAATTAAACTTATAAATCAATTACTAATTAGAAATAATGATAGAAATAGGAGTTAATTATTCTTTTAGAATAATCAACCAATTTCTTAAAATTAAAAACTATTTACAGATTTGCATCGAAGCATTTTTTATGATAGTGATTTTAATCACTGTCAGATATCATCTATACTGGATTCAAATATAACACAACTCCACTGTTTTTTTAATTTAATTGGAAAATTATACTCTTAGTAGATATTTGGCTTCTAGTTTAAAAAAATTTATTTGTAATATGTTTCTTTTATTTTAATTAAATGATACCTTAAAACAACCAGACAAGTTCCCATTTTTATATTCTGAAAATCATGAATCTAGTGACATAACTATGAAGAGATAGAAATTACCCACACCCCATTTCTCAAATGAATTGTAATGTTTGAATTTTTTAGTTTTGCATAATATTTTTTAGAAATACAGCTAAGAATGTTTTTGATCAATAAAAAAAATGTCATGAAATAATGAAAATTTATAAATTAATAACCCCCTTTAAAAAAGGTGGTTCTGCCACTGCATAAATCTATGAATTTTTATAAAAGTATACTTGTTAAATTAGAGTAATTAGCTCTGCAATTTAAACTAACCTTTCAAAGCAGCCTAAATTTTATATTAAAATTACAAGGTTAATCAAAAATGTGTTTGATAGACTTATACATAAAACTTTTCTAAACAACTTGTTATAAATAAATTGTATTAATGAAAATAATATTATCAAATATCAAACTATTGATGAGGCACATTTGGCAATACTACGTTATTGAATAGACCACAGCATACTTCTCTATATAAATTAAATTTTTATTGGTAAATAATTTATTTATTTTTAAATAATTACCATTGCCTTTTTAAGAATTTTCATAGCATATATTTTGTTGGAATCTAAATGTTTTACTTTGTATACTTTTCCAAATGCTCCTTTGCAAATAAATTGCATAACCTATATGAACAAAAGTTTAATTATATAATTGTAAATTTCTTTTTTTTAAATAGTCAGTAACAAATTTTCTCATAATACAAAAATTAATTTTTTAATGTTATTGACAAAAAAAAAATTATTATTTAGAATTTTATATTATTTTTTTTTTAATTAATAAGTTTAATAGAAATTATTAAAATTAAAAATGAATAATAATTTAATTATATGAAAAAAACTTCTTAAATAAAATTGAACATTTTCTTAATACAACAAACTTAATTTTTAGAAATAAACTAAGTATATATAATAATATTAATTATCATTAATATATAATATTGGGGTATAGTAATAATTAAAATTTTTTAATAGTTTTGATATAAAAAGTATTAATCACAGGACATCCATTAATCTTCTTGTATATCAATGATATATAGTTTAAAGAGTACACATCAATAAAAATAAATGTATTTTTGGTACCAAAATTTCAAAAAAGTTAAATACTAAATTGGTAAAAAATGATAAAATATAGCAATAAATTTAGTAGTTCTACAATTTTTAGTTACTCTTTTAAAAAATTAAAAAATCTATACATAAATTCAATATATTTGTATATTACTACACATAAAAGAGACTAAAACTATAAAAACAAAAATCTAAGAATTGTATAATGTATATTAGAATATAATTTGATAGAAAATAGTTTAAATTAATTTAATTTATTCAGTTTTGATCTAGATGTATAATATTATTTAAAATTAAGTACCTGGAAGGTATTTTCATTTACATATGATTTAATTTTGAACTCGGGAAGAAATATTTGTTGAATTGTTGGAATTGGCCATGTAGTTCTACTATATTTACGCCAATCATTGCATTTTGCCATTTAAAAGGAATAAAACTATATTTTTAACATTAAATATACTTAAAAATTGATAAAACTAAGTAAAAAAGTATAATTTATTCTTAAAACAAGTAATAATCAAGCAATAATTTCATTTTTTTTATAAATTAGTAAATAAATAACGTCTTCAGTGATAATTTAAAATTTATTGATAACAATGAAGTAAGGGTCGGCCTAGTCTAATGAGTAAAAAAGTATATTTCTTCACACGGTGTTCCAGGTTCGATTCCCAGTTTACCAACAATATTTTCTTTATGATTTTCTCATTGACGTGTCTGATCTCTGGTGCAAGCATTCATAATACCTGTCCTGTCCATCATTGGCTTGGCCAAAAACCATTTTTAACTCCTTAACATGTGAAAGAGGTCCACTATATTATTACGGAAAATCGAAGGATGTAAAACGGATTAAGAATATTGATAACAGAATACACGCAAAGAAAATTAATAACACTGAATGTATAAAATCAATTTTGTGGTATCAACACAGATTACAATATAGTTTTATAATATAACTACATTTTAGTCTGTGGTGCTTCTTAAATTCATTTTTTGGGGTGCTAAAATCATTCCCTCTCTAAAATATTTTTAGATAATAATACATATAGTTTCTTAAATTTTTGGAGATCAATTCTTAACTGGGAAACCATTCTTGCAACTCCAATGTAGAGTTTAGGGTAATAATAAAATATATTTCACATAATCAGCGACAGTAGTGTTTTACCCATAGACTATACTTAGGTATACATAGTAAATTCAGTTTCGATTTTGAAAATGAACATAGTATATTAATTTTTTTATGGTATATTATACTCTGTAAAAATATTAAAAATTCGCACATATCACTAAATACTAGATTTTTCATTCATTGTTTATTATGTTTAAAAATAATTTTTATAAAGTTAAATTTTTAACGTATAACCTAATAAAAATTAACTTCAACTAGAGTGTAGAAATTTTTAGTGGCTCTATTCAACAAAGAACAACACAAGAAATATTTTTCAAATAAGAAGTGGGTCTTATTGAAAATACTAACTAGATTCAAAAAATTATCCCATAAATGCCATTTCTCGGGGAGTGGCCAAAAAAGAAAAACTGTCACGGAAATCGAATTTGGAAAGTATATGATCATAATGAATATTTTTGTGGATGGATCATTTATTAGCAACGTAATTAGGATTTTGTTTTGGGATAATATCTATAAAAAAATTGTTTATTTCCCCCTCAAAACAAAAGACAATATTTTTCGCTGTATAATTATTTTTGTAATAGGGATATGACACCTTTAGTCTCACATTATTAGGCCAAAACGTAGTCAATAGATATATCATTAACAAGGTGATAAATGTTGAGTCTTTAAAATTTGTTCATAATTCTATTATCGTAGCTACAGAATTAATTATATTTATAAATATTAATTAATAATAAAAATAAAAAAATTACCGGTTCCACATAGCACATAATGTAAATAATAGGGTCGTACATACAAGTAAGAAAAACGGAACAGTAATTTTAATTGCTTATATGGAGAAAGCGGGTTAAACTATTTTTTATTTGATTAAGGGATTGTTTTTCTATTTTTGAGTGTAATATATTCAACTAAATACGAATTGTAATAATTTAACGTATCGTTGAATAAAGTAGATCAAGAGAGGGTTGGGAAAATAAATCGTAGCCACAAAAAAAACCATATAGTAAAATAATATTAATATAAATAAGAAATTTCTTCTCGCTAGGGGAGACTAGAGTGATGGGATCCTAGATATTTATTAAAGTTATTGAATCTAAATGAGATAAAAATTAAATGATTTGAAAATTTTTTTCTAAATATTAATAGCCATAAACTAGAACTTCGTATTTTAAGTGTGAAAGACATAAGTGTTACCGTTTCGGCAACTGTTTGTCACTGTCGACACATGATAAATTAGCAATTTAAGCTGATTTAGCATTTAAAGTTACTTTTTCGACTTACAAAAAGCAAAAAAAAAATTTAAAAAAGTTTAACTTCTTATGTCTTATGAACTTTATTCTATGTCAATTAAACTATATATATTCATGAAAGTCAGTGTATTCCCCTAGTACGATATTTTAAAATAAAATAAAATACAAAATCCAGAATTTTAACATAAAAATAGCATATTATTGAGGACAGTAGCAATTTTCACCAAGAAAAAAATCTATATTTCGAATTTTTTTTCATAGTAAAGAATATAATATAAGCTTTAATTTAAGATTAAATAAACGTGTTAATATTTTCAGAACATTTTCAAAAATTAAATTAAAAAAGCTTAACTTGTGTGAAAAATTGTTTTTTTGAATACCCCCATGGGCAGGTTTAGAGTCAGATTTTCAAAAAATTTATATAAAATGAAAAGGATATATATATATATATTTAAGGTTTCAATATAAAAAAAAATTATTGTAATTTGTTCATTTTTTAATAAGTTATGGCAGTTTTACAAATTTAAATACCCACTGTATTAAAGAAAATGGCCAGATTAAAAAAAAGTATGTCGAAAGAAAGAAGTAAACATACAGTAGTTATGAAAAAAAAATTGTATTGATCCATACATATTTCAAAAAGTTATAGCAATTTAAATTTGAAAATTAAAATTTTTAACACAAAAATATCATATTTTTAATTACGGCAGCTATATGCGTATAGAAGATAAGTCGATAGAAGAATTTTTTTCATTTTATAGTACATGATATAAGTTATAATTTGATATGTTTAAAGAACACAATATTATATATATGATTATTATATATACATTTTCAAAAGTAAAGTTGAGTTTTGTAAAAAAAGTTACTATTTTAAATCCCCCCTTGTGAGCAGGTTATGTTAGATTTTCAAATAAAAATGATATTAAATGTCTAAGGTTTCAATAGAAAAAAATTATATTGTTCATTTTTGAAAAAGTTATTGTAGTTTTAAGAAAAAAAAGCAAAAAAAATTTCAAAAATTACTGATAACACTAGTTTACAAATAAAAAAAAATTTTCTGACCTATGACTTATGATAGTCATTTTTTATGTAAAATCGTCCACTGAGTCCGAAAATGAAGTCCAAAATACAAAAAGTAGAACAGTTTTTGAGTTATTGCGAAATTAGCGTTTTTCGTGTACCGCGAAAAAACGTTTTCATTATATTCTAAATATCTTTAATTGCATTCAACCGATTTTCATTTTTTTTACATAAAATTAAACAATATTAATTTACCTATAACTTTTATCTGAATCAATTTTTTATCTGACTCTTTTCTCGTTTGCTATCTACGAATTTACCACTGAATTTTTATCATTTCTTTCAAATTGTCAGAAAAAATTCAAAGTTTTACGTAAAATACACCAATAAAAAATAAATTTATCAACAATAATTTCAATAGACGTCATACTCTAATACATAACAAAGAAAATGATATATTATTTTGTAAAATTGATAAAAAAATGAAGAAGTTATGCGCGATTGAAAAATAAAACAAATTTCCTAAAATCAGAGTTTTCTAATTCGATGCTATAATTTTTTTTATAAAATATAGGAAAATTACTCACAATACTACTTTTCAAAACAAAATTTCGATTTTTTAAATAACTTAAGGTTATTTCATATAGTTTTATTGGGACATTTTTAAATTGAGTTAATTTTACAGTTTGGCGGGGTTGTGATAAATTTTCGCATTTAAAAAAAAATGATAATTCTCTAAAAATATTAAGTAATTTTCTATAGAATTAATAAAATTGAAATTGTTTTTGCATGTATTTAAAAAATTATTTTAAATATACTAAATTTAACATATAATCGATAAAATAAATAATTAAGTTTTACAAAAAGGAAAACAATTATAATTTTCACTATATTTTTTGTAATTAGTTTTATGATAACCAAAGAATAATTTTTATTTAATTAAAAATAGGACGCATTAGTCTTAATATTTCTTTTATATGTTTCATTGTTTTCTCTTATAAGAAACCAATAATAGTCACCCATCATTGTTTCATCCCAAAACCCATAGTAACGACATTCTATATCATTTATTTGTTGATAAAAACGTTCACCATGCTCATCGCTTTCATTTCCAAGATTTTCAGGAAAAAATCTAAGTGTGCATGAAGAAAATGTATTTTCAATGACATGTTCATCCCTATTTCCGATAAAATTAAAAATATACATGTTTCTTTTATTCAAAAAATAATAAAATTATAAAATGTACTGTTTACCTATTTTTGAATAGTTTATCAATAAATCGTCTACTATTTCTCTATAATTTAAAATTTTGAAGTTTCCTAANTTATTTCTCTATAATTAAGGTTTGCCCAAAATTTTCCAATTGTGTTGATTAGAGAAAGTAATTAGAGATAGCCATTGATTCATACGATTCTTTCATATTTACAGCATGCGCTAATGGAATTGAAAGTTTGATGTTTCCTTTGTGCAGTAAAACTGCTTTCAGACTTAGTTTATTGATATCAAAAAACAAACGCCATTCGGTTGGATCATATGGCTCACCAAATTCTTTAAACAAACCGTAAATGTCGTTACAATAACAAACATTTTTTTTTTTTTATATAATATTGAGCATAATATTTCTGACGACTTCGGTAAAATGTAACTTTTACTTGTGATTTTAATCAATTTTATTCTTGCAATCTTGACGCCAATAACTCTGATTTTTCCTTTGAGAGTTTCAAATGTCTTATTAAATCATTAAGTTCAGTTTGGGTAAAAAGCTTCGGAATTTTTTCATGTTGAAAACTAATGTCAGTCTTACACTCGGCATGATTACTTGGTTCGGGTGATTCACTATATTCTTTTTTCCTTTTGGAAAAACAGGATATTTAACTGAGAGTAAATGTGGAACTGGTTTTGACATGATGTTTGCATTTTAGGAAATTTGTTTTATTTTTCAATCGCGCATAACTTATTCATTTTTTTATCAATTTTACAAAATAATATATCATTTTCTTTGTTATGTATTAGAGTATGACGTGTATTGAAATTATTGTTGATAAATTTATTTTTTATTGGTGTATTTTACGTAAAACTTTGAATTTTTTCTGACAATTTGAAAGAAATGATAAAAATTCAGTGGTAAATTCGTAGATAGCAAACGAGAAAAGAGTCAGATAAAAAATTGATTCAGATAAAAGTTATAGGTAAATTAATATTGTTTAATTTTATGTAAAAAAAATGAAAATCGGTTGAATGCAATTAAAGATATTTAGAATATAATGAAAACGTTTTTTCGCGGTACACGAAAAACGCTAATTTCGCAATAACTCAAAAACTGTTCTACTTTTTGTATTTTGGACTTCATTTTCGGACTCAGTGGACGATTTTACATAAAAAATGACTATCATAAGTCATAGGTCAATTTTGTTGTAAACTAGTGTAATTAAAATTGTAATTTTTTTGGAAATTTTCACTCATTTATAGTAAATGGAGGAAATTTTTTCAATTTTTTAGGGTAATGTCATCAATTAGATACAATTTGTAATATTTTGACGTATTGTTAAAGAAAATTGGTTCAGTGACAGCTAAAAAAGTGGTGATACTAGTACAATCATATAGGACCCTTCGATTGTTGCAACTCTAGTATTTATTTCAAATTATGAAATGAATTATAAAATAGTAGATGTTCCTGATACCTGACCATTACTCAAAACTATATACCTAGCCCGTTATTGATACCTGAACTTAATTGAGTATTTGGTTTGTAAGGATTTCTTTACTTATCTTTTAATGTAATTACTAGTAAGTATTTATATATTATACTTGTAAATGTCAAAGTTATAATTAGGTTATAAATAAGAAAATGTTCATGTCGCTTTTGGAATAATTCAATAATTTCTTCTAAAAATGAAACACTATTCACAAATTTGCATCAAAATGTTTTTTTATGATATTGATTTTAACCACTGTCAGATATCATTGATACTAATACTCATTATAATGAGTTTTTTATTTTAATAAGTAACACAAAATATTATTTATACATAAAAAAACTATGTTTTGAAAACTAATAAATCTATTTTAAACATACATAAAAAATCTTATATTAACATTATAAGCAACTCATTGAAATTAACATTTTTATTAAAACAAGTTGGAAAAGAAATAATAATAAGTAATATAGTTATTATTGGAGCTGATATAGTTGACACTTTCACAAGAGAAAAATATTCAAATGTTTATAATAACTATTATCTACTAAATTAATCAGTCATAATTTGGAATTTCTTTATTGTTCGATTTTAGCAAGCAAATCTGATTCTTTGAAGATAGTATAAGAATCATCTTCCTCTAATTGAAGTTTAGTTCCACCATATTCAGGCAACAATACTCTATCACCTACTTTTATATCCATTGGTACAATACTCCCTTCCTAAAATATTAAATTAAATTTTTATTATTTATTTATCAATGATTACATAGAAATTTAATAGACTAATTAAATACCTGATTTCGTCCTCCCGGGCCTACTGCAACAACAGTTCCTTCCAAAACCTTTTTAGCAGAATTTTCAGGCAACATTATACCTCCTTTAGTTTGTTTCAAAGCTTCTACTTTTTTCACCAATACTCTATCGAATAAAGGTCGAAATTTGGTTGCAATAGATGCCTTGTAAAAAATTTATAAATTCATCATTTAAAACAAATATACTAGGGGCTACATATTTGAATGGCACTAAATAATATTAATTAATTTTTTTTGCATGAGATTTCTTTAAAATATATTAAATAGAGGCATCAATCAATAAATGTGATATTAAATAGCACAAATACATAATAATATAATTTTCATATTATTGGTATAGCACATGCAGCAATGAATGTACTATCAATGAACGAACATGCTATTAAGGTTTAACATAAAAATTTATTCTATGAATGATCGTGACTAACATTATAAATAAATAAATAAGGTTTTTAAATCAATAGTATAGATAACAAAAATATTTAATTTAACTTCTTTAATATTTAAATATTATAAAGGCAAACCTTTTTTGAAATTAAAATTTTCTTGTGTATAAAGTAAGGTATTTTTTAAAACGTTTAATAATAAGCGTATTCATTTTTTAAAATACTTTACTTACCATCTCAAAAGAATAAAAGTTCTTTTAATTTCTCGAGAAGTATTGTAACTAGAAAGAAAATTCTAGAAGAATAGAACGTTTGGTAAGCGGCTCATCAATTTGTATAAATCAAATAATTAAAATGTAGGTTAAGTTTTATATTTTCATGGAGTGAAAAATAACAACATTTCATGGAATATTCGACATTTTATCTACTTCGGTCATGATTAATGATGGGTTACGGAGATTGCCACGAACTGATGATGCCCCGACATTCATTTACTCCGACACTGTAAAAAAATCCTCCGAATACATTTACTCCGACAATAATTACTACGAATACCGGGTTACAAAAATTTGGATTTTACTACGACGATGAATACTCCGAATAGGACTATTAATTGATTGGTCCGAATATCGATTTTTCGCGAAATCGATTAAAAAATTATCAAATTTCGGAGTAGATGAATATCGTAGCAATATAATAACTGATGGAAAAATATAACCCTTATCACTAATTAATAAATATTAATTAATATAATAAAATAGCGTTATAATTGATTATTGTGTATTAACGAATAATTATTACAATAAAGATCCCCGAAATGTATCCGACTTTTGATAAAATAGGTACATAAAGGTAATAAAGGGGGCTTTGAACTAAAACAACCAGTTACATAACTGGTGTGAGCCCTTAAATTATTTTTTTTGGAAGGGAAAGAAGAACGATTCCAATTTTCAGACGTAAAATCTTTTACATGCTATATCATTAATATTATAACATTTAATTAGTTAAAAAATATAGGGGTACGTTTCACTGATGATAGGATTCGTCATTAAACAGATGTGTTTATAAAGATATTCGGTATCCCATTCTCTAAAACTGTCATTGCAATTAGTCTCATGAAATCAAACAAAAATATGATTTAATATCATTTCATTGTTCAAAGGTGGGCAACGAAATTAATTCAGTCCAGTTTGGATTTGACCGCAATCTGGAGAGACTTGAGGGGGCTTTGTCTCCTAAAATTCTACCATATAAAATACCAAAAATGAATTAATTTGTATTTCTTGTTGTATAGAAATATTTTTTAGATTAGGTAAAAAATGATGTAATTAGAGTTCCCAAGTATTTTGTTGCAATATTCCTACGCTCTAGTCAAATAAATAAACACAAGGCAGTTATAAGTTAACAGTGGACAATAGTTTATGATTAATCATAAACTTACTTAAATCTTCTGTTAAGATAATTAGTTTTAAATTTAACTAACTCGATTAAAAATATGCAGTCAATTCATTAAATAATGGTTGAGTTTTTTTTTCATTTGCATTATGATTATTTGAAGTTTTGTCAAATATACGTATAGAGTTAAATATTTTAATTTATAATCATAATTGATAATCAAACAATTATTCATTTTTTCTCATTAAAAGTACAATATTACATTATTATATGTAATTTTATATATATATAATTACATTTTTACAAAACATAATACATTACATTACGTGATTTTATTTTTTAGGAATATGCTTTTATATTCTAAAAAACCCAGCACAGGGGGGTCGCGGCACAGTGGTGACGTGGTATAGATGGATCAAGTGATTAAAATCACTATAAAAAAAAAACGCTTCGATGCAAATCTTTAGATACTGTTTAATATTTAAAAAATTGGTGGACTATTCCAAAAGCTACATTATCTGCTAGTTCATTATTAATATCCTAATTAAGATAAAGTATGTAGAATGAAAAAGGGATTATTAGAAAATATTATTTCTCATAAAAAAATAATGTTGATCCATACACTTTTAAATATGTCATAGCATTATAAAGTTAAAAATGTAAAAAATAAAATCGAGAATTTTCACATAATAATAGAATTTGGTAGCCATTTTCACTGTGAAGATAAAATAAAGTCCGAAATTTTTTTTTACCATAATATAGTAGATTACATTAACTTTAATTTAACATATAAATAAAAGTGTTAGACTTTCCGGAACAGTTTCAAAATTTAAGTTGAAAAAGTAAATTTTTTGTGAAAAAGTTGTCATTTTAAATCCCCCCCTGTGGGCAGGTAAAGGGTCAGATATAAAAAAAATATATACCAAATGATAGGTAAAGACATCATGCATCTATAAAAAAAAAATTATATTGATCCATACATCTTTCAAAAAGTTAGAGCATTATAAAGTTAAAAATATAAAAAAGAATTTTTTTACAAAAATCGTATTTTTTTTATACTACTTAATTAACTGGGCACTCATAAAGGTCAAAGTTTTGGAAAAATATGAAAAATTTCAGTGTTTTACATTTTTAGGCTACAGACTTAGTTTTACGAAAAATATTATGATATATAATCTTGTAGCTATTGAAATTTTCTATAAAAAAGCTCTTCTTACAATTTCGCGTTTAGTTAATACTTTTTGGTTAAAATAATAAAACTCCACAATACTCGTTATTTATGAAAATTTCCAACTATTTGGTTTTTTGTAATTATCTAGTTTAATTTTCGTATTATAAAAAAAAATTTAAGCATAAAATTTTTTTAAAATAATATTTTAAATAAAAAAGGTTATTAGATAATTTTGCTTAAAACTGATAAAAACAGTCTAAATATTTGCCCAATTCTTTTATAAAACAGTTTATTCTATATCATTTACTATTGAAATCAAAGAATTTATTTATTATACGCCTGATTCAAAACTTTTTTATTCGCCTGAGGGTATTGAGTTCTATAATCTTGTACCACCTAAAAAAAATATTATTAAAAATAATATTAAGTAACCTTTTCAAAAATATATATATTAAATTATAACAATAACTGTTTTTGTGATTCGTTTCTTGTTTTACTTTTATTAAAATCTTGTATGTTTTATGCCCCTTTCAGCTAAATCTTTTACTACTTTTAGCTTCTTAACAATTTGTTTACCTTGTTGTTATTTGCGAGAGCTTGACCACTGTATACAGTCAGTGTGTACACTGTATAGTGTATGAGTGTATTCAGTGGCGTAGATAAGGGGGTTGGGGGTTAGAGGTTTAAACCTCCTCAGAAAATAATCGTATCTACACCAATGGGTGTATATGTAAAATATTTTTAATTTTTTATCGTTAAAAAATATTCTTTGAATATCCATTAAACAGGGATATTAATACATTATCATCACATATTTACTAAAAATAAAGGTACTTGACTTAAATTTAAAGACAAGTTTTTTATATGGTAGTCTTTTTATTCTTCGTCAATTTCAGCAAGTGTTTTCATTTGTTATACCATTTTGATTTTAATCAACACTTATCCTATCAAACAATGAAAAAGCTACACATTCGTTTGTTAAATAGTATAAATGATTGACTAAATTTTCAATAGCTACCTCAGATATTTTGATCAATATCTTTATATTAATACAATTTTTGTAAAAACTAAATATTTTAGCTTCGATTTTAGCTTATTTTTACTAAGATGTGTTTATTTATTTATTTTTTTTTTGTGTCTGTTACCACTTTTTCTCAGCTCTCACCGAACCGATTTCTTTCAATGATACGTCAAAAGATCACAAATCGTATCTAGTCGAAGACATTACCCTCAAAAATTGAAAAAAATTCCCTCGTTCCCCGTAAAAGGGGGAAACCTCCAAAAAATTACAAATTTAAAAATCGCTAATTATCGACATTTTTTCCATTTTTTTTACTTAAAAGTACAATAACTTTTTCAAAAATGAACATATCAATATAATTCTTTTTTATATAGATGCATAATATCAATACCTTTTATTTGGTATATTTTTTTTATAAATTTAACCCTTAACCTGCCCACAAGGGGGGATTTAAAATGACAACTTTTTCACAAAAAATTAATTTTTTTAANTTTTTGATAATGTTCCGGAAAGTCTGACACTTTTATATATATCCTAAATTAAAGCTGATGTAATATACTTTATTATGCAAAAAAAAAAATTTCGGACTTTCTTTTATCTTCATGGTGAAAACCAATTTTTTCAAACACTTTTGAAAAAAACATTGAAAAATACACGTTTAAAAAAAAAAAAAATATGAAAAAACTCGATGGGGTGGTAAAATGCATTTGTTCCCTGTAATGTATATGAGAAAATATTTAAACAATATACTAATCACATCCATTTAAAAAATCCATACAAATTTTTTAAATTAAAGTTAAAACTGAATTTTATAGAAATTATAACATATTTTCTAAAGTAACATGTGGAGATGATGCTTGGTTTGAAAATGACCACAAAACATGATAAAAAATTTAATAATGTTGAAGTATTTAGATGTTAGAATGTATCACGAAATTAGAATAAGAAATTAAGAACGCATTAAAATACGAGCAAAACTAACAAAGACTATTCATTTCAATTACGATTCAATTTTGTTACTGTTTTACTATACAGGGTGTTCAGTAAGTCAGGAAACGGGTTTCTATTGTTCTCATTGTTTGTAACAATGAGAACAATAGATACCCGTTTCCTGACTTACTGAACACCCTGTATACTTAATAAATTTTGTACAGAATAATTGTTTTTAGTTTTACATTATTATACATTGCATGACTCATAGTAAAATTAATAAGAGGTATGCTCGATCATAGTCTGCATTTTCGTCGTAGTACGCGCATGTGCATCGCCTTGTGTTTTTGTGTATTCGTATACAATCGGTGAAATACGACCGCTGTCGTATGCGCTTTAAAATCGCGCAATTTTTAAATTGATAATTCTGATATAATATCAATGATAGACATCATTTTTAAGTAATAATTATATTAATAACTTTATGTATTGTAATATTATTTTATAATATATTTAATCGTGAATATTTATTTTAGATTCTATGTATTTTTTTTGTAACTTTTATATTTTAATGAAAAATTAGAATTGTGTACCTTGTTAATTAAACGTGAGCTATATTAACTAGTGTACAAACTTGTTTTTTCATGTTCTACATTAAATTAACACTACTTTAACTTTCTAATAAAAGTTCTTATTATTTGCATGAAATTGTTGTATTTTATTCATTTCTCTTCTGTGTGTCTCATAGTAGAAATTTTTTACTTTTTGGCCTATATTTGAATTTATTATTATTCATTTTACTATGACATAACTTATACTAATTAATAATTACTAACCATTAAAAAATAAATAGTAAAATGTTATCATGTAATAATGCAAACAAATAGTCTCAATTTACTATCATCACAGTCTTCACTGATAAAGCATCAATGTCCTACCATGTTTATAAGATCTAGGTAAAAAACGTTATAACTTTTATTAACTAAAAAATTGACTCCAGTTATTTATTTGTTTAACATTATTATTTTCTATAAGCTTTTATAAAATTGTTCTATTTTGTATTAATAGTACGTAATTAACATGTGCTACCATAGTTTCGAATGTTTTTAATTCAAAACAAATTCTTTCATTACTTTTAAGTCTACTTTAAAGTGTATTTATATGATAGATTTGAAACTGAATACCACAAATCTTAAAAGAGATAAAAAATACAATGAGCTTAAAAAGAAGTAACAGTTATTCTGACATAACTGGTAATGCAACATTACAGTGCTTGGCTAGTGGCATTAACTATCCTATTGGAGAGACTGAGGTAGATTTTTTCTTTAGGAAATAAACTCAATTTAAGTGTTAAGATGAACTTATTAAAAATACATATATTTTTATATGAAAATAATATCTATATTAACTTTAAGCCATCTTAACTTTGTTTTATATTTTACAATATACTTTATTTTTCTTTAAAATGGTTAAATTGATATATTATAACTCTTCAGTTTGTTATTGGACGTTCCCTTGCCTGTTCACTTGTAATTGAAGATAAATCTATTTCACGACGACATTGTTTTATAAATAAATCCAATGGCCAATATCTTATTTCTCACAATGTAAGACTTAAAATTTTTATTGCATGTTTATATTAATTTAGCTATCAAAGAGAATAATTAATTCTAAGTTGATCAACAATATCTGTACTACAGGGAACAGGTAATGAAACTTATGTAAATTGTGTGCAAATTCCTAATAACCAAAATGATTATCAAGTTTTAAATCATGGAGATGTTATTTCCTTTGCAGATGGGAGTGGAAGTTATAAATATCTGTACAGATTTGTTTTACAAACAAATACAGATAAAAAATTGAAGTAAGATTATTCTTAAGACATCATGTGTGTAAGTAATTTGTAGAATATGGATAAACAATACACTAATATAATCAAATGTATTGTTTATTTTATTAAACGCCATCAAATAAATTGATTAATAAAAACACTATATCTAAATCAATATTATCTGAAAAATATTATTTTAATTCATTCTTTTAATACATGTCAGTTATTTTTATTATAAACTTTCTAATCGCTTAATATGATAATAACAGAGTATGAACAATATTTGTTTATAAAACTTTAAATATAGATTTTACATTTAATGAATAATATTGTTAAAAAATGAAAAAAATTATTCCTTTTTAAATTTTAACTTTTAAACTATGCTTTGCTCACAAAAAATATTTAAAAAAACTTGCATTTATGGTAAAATGCTTTTTTGCAAAATTCAGGATTATGCTTAAAATATTTGACACGGCCCGCGTCGCTTCGTTATACACGATGCCCCTTAAATTGCAATTTAACAACGCGCAGCGCGAACGACTAGTTCGCTCTTCACCGATAACGAAATCGAGCGCGTTCCTCTCGGTCAAAATGACGAAATTTTTATCGATCTTCCACTTCACCTCGCCCATTCCCGGGCCCTCAACCTCGACTACAGCCCCTCACTCACAACGCAGGACAAGCTGTAGCCCCTTTAAATTCACTTACCGCACCCCCCACCCACAGTGAGGGGCTCAATGCGGTCCTAAAGGTCTTTAAAAAAATTAATCATACGGCTGAGAAAACATAAGTCTCCGTGTTATACGACTATAGCGCGAGTCGGGCCAACGATATGTTGGCCACCGTGGGGGAGGGGATACCAGCCGAGACGGCCTACCCGCTTATGGCGATTGACACCGCCGGCGGACAAACCGTTAGACGCTCCCGTTCGAACTGTAAACCACCAGAGTTTTGCCAAACAAACACGCCCGCGTAAAATTACAACTCCCGCTGTAGAATTTGAATTTTACAACGGTTTTGTGACGGCATTACTTGACTCACAAGCGCAAAAGTCATATACCACCCGAATTTTGCCAAACAAACATAATTCCGCTCAAAACATTATTGCATTAATCAGCGCGCCGGCCAAACCGCACGTTCAATCGACAACGGATTCGCTGCCTGCGATCACAATGCCACTATTTTTAATAACCTTAAAAACAATCACACCACTTTCTCATCAACTTCATCATCACCCCTACAGCCCCACTGTCATTATAGTGGTCACGCTGTAGCTCCACAACTCACCACCACCACACCCCTCATCCACAATGAGGGCCATAAGGTTATTCAAAATACGTGGCACACGATAGTAGACGCAATAGGTAACGATTATAGCGTGAGTCGGGCCAACGATATGTTGGTCACCGTGGGGGGGGATATCAGCCGAGACAGCCTACCCGCTTATGGTAATTAATACTGCCGGCGAACAAACCGTTTCAACGCCCCCCGTTCGAACCGCTAACCACCTGAGTACTGCCGCACAAACACGTCCGCGTAAAATTACTACTCCCGCTGTGGAGCTGGAATTTGACAACGGCTTTGTGACGGCCTTACTTGACTCTCAAGCCCAAAAATCGTATACCACTCGAGCAACAGCTCACAAATTTGGAATTGTGCACAACGGACAAACACCTCCAGTTAGGTTAGCTAACGGTCATACAACAAACACGGCCGGCACAGCTAAGTTTAAACAAAAATTGCGGATCTACAACTAAAGTTCACGGCTGTTATCTTAGAGAATCTGTACTGTGACGTACTCTTGGGACACGACTTTCTAACAGAATAGGAAGTCTCCTGGGACTACGCTGCAAGTACAATTCACTTGGGCGCGACGCGACGCACTACAGCTTGTTGGAAAGCGAGTACTCGACACACGCTACCCGATGTAGATCTATCAACACTAGTTATAGCAGGCGACCCACACACGCGCGAACAATCATCACAGATAGTGAAAAACTGCGNTATCATCACAGATAGTGAAAAACTGTGCTACGGCTTTAATGACACGGTGGGACGCACAACGCTCATTGAACACACATCACTCACTTTACTAGTGCCAGCCCGAGAACAGAGGCTGACACCACCACCCTTAGCATCAAACATGGAGGAGACATCGTTTTTAACAACAAAGTAGCGGCAACAACAATAACAGCAACAATAGCACAATAGTGGTGATAATAACAATAACGGCAGCAACAGCACAGTAGCGGTAGCAACATCCAAATTAGCAGCGGTGAAACCTATGGAATTGGAATACACGCACTCACCCCTTAGATCTCCCACAAACAACGTGAGTTTTGCGGCATTCACTGCGATACGCGATTGCCTTCCCGGCCGTCATTAAGTAGACCGGCGGCTTGGCGGGGGGGTATTTGACACGGCCCACGTCGCTTCGTTATACACGATGCCCCGCGACTCGTGCCACCTTTATCAGCCGTCGCCTTACTATGAGTATTTGACTGACCAACATCGTGTGTTATACGCTACGGTGCAAAGTCCAGCAAATGCCGCACGGCCGACGACGACCCGCCGCAAATGGTGCGAGAGTCTTCCTCCTGTTGTGAAAGCGACAACGTCGACCAACCGATTCGCACCCGCGCACCGTCGCTTACAACGCTGCTAACCTTTTGTCGTCCAAGGATCACGCCGGACATCGCGTCGTCGACGCCAGCGAAAGGGCCGCGATATTATGCGAAGATTTTTATTATTGTGTTTATCTTTTCGGTTTGTTTTATTTTTAACACGCTTTTATTAGTTTCACGTGTATGTTTGTTGTTTGTTGTTTGTTTGTAAGTTTGTAACTCTCCAAACGCCACGCGTTATCGCATATTCCGTTGTCTAGACTAGACTGTTATACGCATTNTGTGTCATATTTCATTCATAATTACCCTATTCTTTTAAAATTACTCTGCTTTTTGTGTTTAATTTTTATAAAGTTAGATGTTTAAATCAATTGTATTTATTTTTCAGATGAAATAATGAAGCATATGGTGAAGAATATGAATCTAGTAAAAGTCAATCTTATGTTGACAATATTGTAAGTTTTAATTCTGTGGATGATCTTTTTTTACAATTCATTTCTTTAAATGAATACAAAAATTATATATTTATTTTTAATTTTTACTTATGATACGATCCTATTTGGGTACATATCCCATTAGAAATAACTAATTAAAGTATAATGGAATCAAATAATAATGTTTATTAATAATAAAATAAAATAATAATAATAATCTATGGATTCAAGATATGTTGAGAATGTCCATCAGGGAGATGACAATGTGCTATAAACATCATGAGAATTATAATTTTTTAAATCACAATTAAATAATAATAATAAGTTCAAATAATATTAATTAGATGTTAAACATTCATATGGTAGGTCTCAACTGCTCGTTGCACTACATTTTCACAAACAGTTTTCTGTAAGAATGTGTATATTAACATTGTCAGCAGGTCCCTGTAATAAGCATGAATGCTGACCAAGCTGTTAAATGTTATTAACTGAACTAAGATTTGTGCACAAAATGTGACCGTATCACTTATTTAAATCCAATTTTTAATTATTAGTTGATTTATTTTAGCTGAAAAGTGAAAAATCATTAATGAAGCGTTTTCTAACTGCTAAATTAGATAAATTTAATGAAATAATTAATCAAGAATCAAAAAAAGTTAAAAAATTGAAAAAAAAACAATTCTAAAAGTAAATATATTTTAAGTAAAAATAACTTAGCCCCTGGTTAATACATATTATATTATTTTCACACAATAATAATTTTTTTTATTAACATTTACTATAATTAAAAAAATATATATAGAATGTATTAGTTTTTAAATTAGTTCTAAAATCATGTTTTATTAACCTATATTTTTGAATTAAATCATATTCAAAAAATTTTTTCCGCAGCATAAACTCGCTAATAATGAATTAACAAAAAAGAATTTAGATTACCAAAATACTTTAAAAATACAACAATGTGATTATATAAGTATATATATTGTTATTAACTTACTTTATTTAATTTTACACCTGTTTAAGCAAAGTCGCATGATATTCTTAGTATATAACATGAAATATACTGTGTCTTAATCTGGACTTATTTACCTGTATAAAATATATGTGAATAACCTATGAACTTCATTTATTTATTTTTTGGATGGAGTTCACGTAATGGGCTATAAATTAATTTTGGGTTATATATTACTATTGTATTAAATTAAACATTAGAAACATTGGTAACAATATCATGTCCATATGATCATTGATTATTAAGTAATTATCAAAAGCAGTTACATATAAACATACATTTTTGTTTATAAACCATTACATTTTTTTATATTATAACAATTATAATTCAGATCTCTAAGAAAAATATAATTTATAATGTATTGTCATGTGTGGTCTTAATTGATTTTTATAAATATTTTAGAAACATCTTCATCACGCTTTAAAAATAAATAAATCTTATTCCTTTTATTAAATATTTTGATAAGAAAAAATATTAATTAAAAAATAAAACACTTATGGATTTAAGACATTTTTGAAAAAATTAATTTATCTTATTTTTCCTAAACTTTCAATTGTATTAAGGCTAATGTTAAATTACATTAAAAAGAGGTATTTATCAAATTATTATCATTTGTAATTCTATTTTCTAGATAAAATTTTTAAGTTAAACTTTGTTAAGTCATTTAATAGCTTCAACATACTTTAATTATTATTTTTTTTTTGAGAAGTTAATTTTTTTGTTTGAATTTTTTTTCTGGATCAAATATCAAAAATTGAAGAAACAATCAAAGAAAAAGTTTATAGTGTTCTAAAAAGTGATTTTCAATGTCCAATTTGTAATGAATTAATGGTTAAGGTATTATTTTTACATTTAAATCCATTAATAGTGTAAATATAACACGTCATCATGTTAAAAGTTCTTAGCAAATTTATTATGTTACTTTAGTTAAAAAAATGCATTAGGGAATACTTTTTAATCAATTTTAAGATTGTTAAATAATATAAAGTGATAGTAGAGATCTGAAAACTTTTTGAACTTTCTAGTCCTAGAATTGTAAATAAAATTTCTGAAAAGTAAATCTAAAATATTTTAATTAAAAAAATAATTTCTAATGAAATTTTTTTTTTATTAGTTAAAAAAGTAAATAAATGTGTTTAAAAATCAATTGTAAAATTCATATAGTAAAATCTAGTAAAGTAATTTAAAATGCTTTTCTTTAGGTAAATGTACATATTTTTATTTTGAACTAACAATTAATATGATTGCTAAACATATGAAGACACAAATTTTCAATTTAAAATAAAATTTGCTTAATCTTCTAAGATAAAAAACAATTTTACAATTACTTNAAAATAAAATTTGCTTAATCTTCTAAAATAAAAAACGATTTTACAATTACTCAATTTACTTACATTTACATTACTTTACCATGATGTGTGACATTTTAAAGTAAATTTGTTTGTTTATGAAAATAAAATGCAATTTAAGTAAAATGAAAAATATTACTATGTCATTGTCTATATATTATTATTTTATAATTTAGTAACTTTTTTTATCCAAAATTTAAATAAGTTTTTAAATTTTGTTTTTGATAAATTAGCTTCTAAGAGACTGAAAAAAAAATCACATACTTCATAATTATACCAACAAAATTATTTCATTTTAGAATTTGGGTTTGAAGTTTAAATAAAACATATTTTATCTCAAAATGTTAGTTCAAGAAAACTTGAATTTTACGCATCCATAAATTAGATTAAAAAAATGATTTTAAATATCTCATTATNATTAAAAAAATGATTTTAAATATCTTATTATACTTGGGAAATAAATAAAATTTAGTCATAAATTGTGAAAATGAATATTTTATATAAAATTTAATATGAAAATTTGTTTTTTTTTTTAGGCGTGTGCAATTAATTGCAGCCATACATTTTGTGAAATTTGTTTAAATACTTGGTTGAAAAAAAGTAAAGTGTGTCCTCTTTGTCGAACTTTAGTTCAAACCAAAACTCTTTGTCTATCTCTGGATAACTTTATTACTAATATTTGTAATCTTCTTGGGAATGCAATAAAAGAACATCGGGAAAAAGTACAACAAGAAAGTAAGTATATTTGAACATTTATTAACTTATATTTATTGTTATAACTATTTTTAGAATTGACAGTTAATGTCACACGAGTAAAGTATGCACTACCTACTGCTAGAAGAGGTGGTAGAAGAAGAGGTATAACTCAACGTCGAAATACACAACCTGCACATGTTCAATAAGAAATAGTGCAAAGAATTTATGAAGTTATGTATTGATAAATACCTGAATTTTTGACTAATGTAATACATTTTAAACTTTCCAAAAGAAAAATTACTTTTTATTCTTTCATATTTAAATTAAATCGGACGTCCGCAAAATACAAATGTAATGACATTGAACAATAAAATAATTTTACTTACAATGAGAAGATATACTCCAACCAAGTCAATCCACGGATTCAACGATTCGACGCACAGTGGGGCAACGAGCTTCAAAAGTTGGCATTAAATCATGGAGCAAAAAAATATATTCTTAAAATTAATATTATTTTTATTTTTGTCCATCAGATATATAAAAAGTCATTTACATAATATTAACATAGGTATTTATTTATTTTAAAGACATTTTGGCAGAAATAGCTATTCAATTTATTAATAAAAGAAAAATGTATTATTTTAAGTTTAAAATTAGTCATGGTTATCATCATCATAATCATTGTTATCATCATCATCATCATCTTTGACATATTGAAGAGAGACCCGGACATCTGGTGATTTTAGTAATGCAAGTGCTTCAATTGGCATTAATTGTGTTTTTTTCTTTTACTTAAAATTACTGGATCTGAACTTAATAAAAACAAATTTAATATATCTAAATTAGTTTTTTCACGACATTTCCTTGAGTTATGCTCCCAATAACTTTAAATCTTTATTTTGTGCTTCTTGGGCTTCTTCATTTAATTGAATTTGTTTTATTTATAGAAATTTAAAACAAAAACACAAAAAAGAGGATCTACCAAAGTTTATTACGATACATTAAAGTTTTGAGCTCTTTGGATACCCATGGAGGGAAACTCGATTTATAAAAGTGGGACAGAGGGACAAACTTCAAGATTGAATTATGGAGTGCATCAGTGAAGGTATTAACCGAAGTATTTAAATCAAGGTTAGATAAAGTAGAGACCCAATTGTATGAAGACAAAAAAGATATAATACAATTGTAATTAGCCTCTTTGAAGTTGTGAAAAGAGTGCGAGTTATTAAAAATAGTGGGGAAATTGATATAGGGAAATAAAATATTAAGAGGAGGGTGATAAGGATCAGGTGGAACAAATCGTTCAAGAGATTCACAAACGACAACAGAATCAGTGTTACAACAAATTAGATCAAGAATGGAACCCTTAAAATTTAAAATGGAATTCATTTGGTAAAACCCATTGAAGGCAAGAGATTCAGGAACACATGGTACTCGAATAGGATGAAGGATGATTCTAAAATGTTTTTGATGTTTGATACTAAGTCGCACATTATTAATTCTGGAGACATATTATTTTAGGCCCTACTTTAATCTATTATTGTGAAGTCATTTTAATTTTTAACAATAGAAGTACGTATTTTGAAATATTATTCATTCTACTTCAGTTACAAAAATTAAAAAAAACATTTTTCAGGTTGTAAAAATAAATTTTTGAACTTTTAATAATCAATAAAAATTAAACTACAGAATTTAGTTATTTTTGTTAATGCACTTCAAAAATAAAAATATTAGCATCTTTTTAAAATACATGGGTTTAATTAGAAATTTGAATCTACGAGTGCTGAAGTCCTACCATTTTTTCATATCTATATAATAATGCACGAAGTCCTAGATATGCAATATTGAACAAATAAGATATTTTTGCAATTTAGGCAACTACTTTTATTTGCAGGGCAGAATACTTCAACAGCTTTCTTATTTTTTGCATTTACATAAAAATAGGCCACCAAGGCATAAATTGCTTTATACAACATAACATAATACACATTTTATGTAAAACCCTTTTATTGTATCCATAATCAAAACACATAAAATGTTATTTGAAGTACTTGCTTGATAATATCTATTTATTGTTTTATTTAAAGTTACTTAAGGTATTTTAAACATAATGAAATATTATGTAGTTATTTATACATTTTACTAAGGTATAGAATCCAAATATAAAGGGGACTAAACTTCAAGTTACGCCAATGCTAAAATAGTGTGCTCTGAAAAAGATATGTGTAACAAAATCACATATCATGGATACTAGATTTGATTGTATAAATAGCAATTTTCCAATTTAAAATAAACTCATTAATTTTTAGTCTTTGTCCATTAAACAGTTAAGTCTTTAATTTTAATTTATAGATAACAATTATTGCCTATTATAATTTGATAATATATTTTCTAAGTCAGTACGGTCCATAATTTAATTTACCAATTAATATTTTCTTTATCAATATCTATTGGTGTATATACAGTTCCTCCAATATAATTACGCAACAAGTTCTTTCTTCAGAAATATTAACCTTTGAAGTACTTTTCCCAGGTATATTTTCCGAAGTAATATGGACTTGAGTAATAACATTCCTATAATTTATGATTCCTTTTAAATAACTATAATTAAAATATCATTTCAACCAGATATTGTTCTATAATAAATTATTTTGTATTTTTAATTCTTGGTCAGTATTTTCTTGATACTTAAAGCCTTCATCTACTGCATCACCATAAATAGGACAATATACACTATAATAGTTATAATGCTTTAACATGGACTATGCATATTAATAATTCCCAGTGGTGATGGATACATATTGAATATCCATCATTTTTAAAGAAACATTATGATTTTGAAAGAGTTAACTTTAAACATGTAGCATCAATTTATCAATTACTAAAAACCTTTTAATAATTAAAAACTGTTTATCCATTGGTTGTGATATTCTGTACTATTTTATAGACTATAATTTGTGGGGGTTAAAAAGAAAGTGTGTAAATCAAATATTAAGTAAAAAGAGTTTGAAAATAAAATTTCAAATTTACTTCTTTTTTTAATACACTAGCAATAAAATTAAGTTTTCAAAATATACTTTTACATTAGTCCTTATGGGATTAAAATAATCCAAATGACTATTGAAAAATGATAAAATTTGACTTACACCACTTTCGTTTTGTGTCCCACATTTGATGAATACAGGAAGTATTATTTAAAATAATATTGTACAAATAATCAAATCAAATAAAAATTTATTTCAAAATCTAATAAAGTATACTACAAAATATGTACATTAAAAATAGTAAAATAATTTGGTATAGTAAAAAAATAAATTCATTAAATTTTCTTTCAAAAATTATCAAATCTTGTATTTTGATATAATTGAAGCCCAAAATTTTGATAGGATTAGCTAATTTGTAAAGATCTAACATGATAAAAATTAATATTTAAATTATAGAAAGTATTTTGTCACCAAATTTAAATTAAAGTTTCATACAATGTCGTAAAATAAGATGAAAAATAATGAGGAAGTATAGATATTTTTTGAATTAAAATAGTAATTTAGAATAAAAAACTAAGTAATTGACCATCTAAAACATTTTCCCCGATTACTCACATAAAATATTAATGAGAGAAAATAATTTAATGCAATTTTACTTCAAGTTTGAGATTTTACTTTTTTAGTAACACAGCGCTATTCCATGCTTTGCATTCGATTTTTACAATCTTTTTTTTATTATATTTAAATAATGATGACAATAGACTAAGATTTATCATTCTGTCACAAATTAGCTCATATGTTTCAATACCCAATTGTTTATGAGCATTCCATCCACAACCCCAAAGTATATTTTTTTTAGATAGTACCATAGAATGACGTGACCCTAAGCTTACTTGTTCAATTTCAGTTTCCTCTGGCCACTCTATTAGTACTGGTTCTGCAGCTATCAATATTCCATTACTTTCTGTAAAAAATGATAAAAGAAGTGAATACTTTTAAATTTTTTAAGAGCCCCCCCCCCTCTCACTAAGAATGTGATCAATGAATACTAATTCAATAATCTATTGCATTGTAGTATTTATTAAAATATGAACATTTTTTTATTAAAAATAAAAAATATAATATATTTTACAAAGATTATTTTACTATTGATTTCGACCATTCTAAATAATTTACAATTATATCATAATTTTCATATATAAGGATTAACTTATTTTGGTGTAATAAGTTAGTCTTTTTAATTTGTCGTAATGTAAAATTAAAAATAATTATACATATTATATGTACATTAAAATTTTTAAAATAAATAATATTTTAATATGTTAAAACATAAGTTCCACTCCTAATAATATACTTTATATAATATATAAATTATAATATTGGTAGTGTACATATTATGTACACTTTATAATTAAATATTTATAATCAATTTTAACTATACATAGTTTTTGGATGATCTATTGATAACCAATAATATCAATAAATGCAACATTAATATAGTTCAACATTCATACTAAAAATCTAGTAGTTAGGAAATTATATAGTAGGGACAATTGTTGAATTTAAGACAGAAATTAGATGTGTGATCGGTGAACCTAATAGAACTATTTGTGACAATTTAATGAGTGGATAATTGTTTTGGCGATCATATGCTTGATGTAATTTTCCACAATTAAATCAGAGATCTTTGGAAATGTAGATAAAAAAAAAATAAATAATAATAATTGAAATTTGATTCATATTTCACAGAGTTATCCCAATTTCAGAGGATAGTTAATTATGCCGTACTCTGTATGTCACAAATATTAATTTTTATTTATTTGTAACATTTTTATTTCATTTTATATTTTGAGGTTTCCTATATAATTTATATTTAATTAACATACATTATAACTGAATACCTGGAGAATTACAAATGCCTAGCTGTCCTGAATGATTCCAACCCCACATGTATAAATCATTGCACTCTGATATTGCAGCTGTATGCCACCCACCAGCAGAGACACTGATCACTTTTATGCCATCTAAATAGTTTAAAAGTCTTGGTCTCTCTTCTTCATTTAACTCACCATGACCTAATTGACCTCGACTAATTAATAAAAATAAAATAAAATTTTTTTTATCAGTTAATTTTTAATTATTTCTAAACACATACCTACCAGATCCTACTGAAAAAATTGATCCATTTTCCATTAGTATAACAACATGTTCAAACCCACATGCAACTTGAGATACTTTTAATTGCGACTCATATATTTTAGTTGGTATTGAATATACTTCTAAAATTAAATATAGTAGAACAACAATGTATACAATGATCAATAGATTAGTTTTAGTACAAAAGTACCATGAAAAGAAACAGCTAAATGAATAGTATCACTACAATACACATGATGTACATAAAAATCCTCTTTATTTTGTGATGTTGAAACTTGAACTTCTGACTGTAAATTTTGAGTGAGATTACTCCACTTTCTTTGAACTTTTGAATATGACCAACATTTTTTTGTTGTATCACAGGCTAAAATATTTGTTTCCGAAGTAGCAACCTGTCATTAAGAAATATATAACTTTATAAATAAAATCGAATTTCATTATTCATTTATATATTACTTGTGCACAATGGACCAACAGGTCTGAGTGCATAGGCATTATGTCCACCTCATTAATAACTAAAACTATATACTACTTATCTCATTTCTGATGCACAAATCATCTAAGAACTTTTAAACTAATAACAAAATGGCTAACTTATTTTTGTGCTATTTATAGTTAATATCTAGAGAGGCAAGGGAAACCAATATATTTTATCAAGGTATTTTTTGCACATTAAAAGCATATAATAGTAAATTTTTATAAAAATATATTGTTTAAATTTAATACAAATTAATGGATAAATGTAAATTAAAAAACAAATTTTGATGATGAAATGAATTTTAAATTCAAGTTTTTATATAGCACAAATACATACATATTTTTAGTGCATAATTTTGATAAACTATAGTAATAATCTTTTTTGTACAAAGTGAATTTTTTTAAATATTGTTTGATTCAAAAAACTGTACGTTAATATGTAGTTAAATCTTTTTTTCTTCTTTTCAGGGAGAAAAAAATTGTACAGTTTTTTAATCTAACAATATTTTCTTTTACAAAAGTTAAAGTTTTTAAATAGTTTCCAAGAAAATGAGAAAAAATCCTTTATAAATCATTTTTATTATATTCACTAATAATGTTTATCTTTAAAGAAATTAAAAAAAAAATAAAACCAATAAGTTCTTATTAAATAAGTATAATTCATTAGTTTTGTTCCAAATTAGATACATAAACTTTTAATTGTAATAACTTTTTTATTTTCCAATGGCTTTCAATTTAAACAGTACTGTTCAAGCTTTTAATTATTATACCTATTACCTTTTAAATGAACTTCAATTATTCTATTGTCTGTAAATTTTACAATTTGAAGAAGTAGATAAAGAAATATATGAAGTAACAAGTGTTTTTTCATTTTACTTCCTTGAAGTATTTTTACAATAAATAAGCTTAATTAATAAATAAAATGTCATTATTAAGTACATATAGTATTTACTTACAGATATAAAAGGTGCACAAACATCATTATTTAGAACTTCAAAATTAACTTTCTTGTCATGAATTAGACCACTAACAAAAATGTGACCATTACCTATTATAAAAATAAACAATTTTTCAATGACTTTCTAAATTTAAATGAATCAAAAATTTTGTAAACAAAACTAGGAATTTTTTAAAGATCATGCTAGTTTAAAATACATATTAGCACTGTAGCAAGTGTTTTGTGGTTAAGAAATTGGCAATTTATTATACAAATATTATCAATTTATACTCAAAATGAATTTAATTGGTATTTACCTGTTAAAATTGAAGCTGAACTCCAAGAAAATGTTATATACTGAATTCCACCATCCATTTGGATTGAATCATTTTCATACTCATGAAAATCTAAATTTTGATTGTGTTCAGAGTTCAATTGGTTGAATCCATTAAAACCGCACCAATACATATCCATATTGCTGTTTAAATATGTATATTTATCTGTTGTCATATTTTTATACATCAAATTTTACAACAGAATATTTTGATTGTAAATTATTATACAAAAACAAAATGTATAGTTAAGACAAAGCAATTCATATTTTTTTTTTAGCTTCGTTTTTTTTGGTTTTTTTTTTTTATTTTTTATATATAACATTTGAAATTGGTGGTTTTAATAAATGTAGCTTAAAATAATTAAGCAATAGTGGGATGTAAAAGTCTAATTTTTTTAGAATCACTTTCAATAGTTTCATCCTCTGAGCAACGCTTGTTAGCAACTGGACTATTTTGTTTGTCTTCCAATTCTAATTTACTATTTTTTATTATATCATCATGCTTATCAACTAACTCATCATTTAAAAAATTATTTTTAAGTGAAATGTCATCTTCAGTTCCTTTACTTTCACAAGTAGGTAAACCATCTTTTTTATCATTATCTAAAGTTTTTTCAGTAAATTTATTACATGAAATATAATTTTGATATTCATCGGTTTCTGATAAAGAATTTCTACCTTCTGTTGACAATCTAGCAATTATTTTACTACCTACTGTATTGGGTATTGCTTTTTCTTTTCTCAGTTCGTCGGGAACATAATCTTTTAAATCTCTTCTTTTTAAATGGTTAATTTGAATATCCATACCAGTCCTAAATATTGCATGAGCTCTACTTTTAACTAAGAGACAAAAATCTCTTAGGCATGAACTAAAATCTAATTGAACAACTGTTCCATTAGATTTTGATATCTCTAAACCTACAAACCAAACAGATGAAGGCCTTCCTTGAGATTTGACATAAGGAAGTAAAAATTGATCAGGATTTAAATGAGATCTTTGAACACACTCAATTTCCTCTAATGAAGTTGGTAAAAAACGAAGTCTTGATTCTACTAATCCTCTCCATTCAAGTAATTCTTCATCAGAGCTGGCAAATACAGTGATTGCCAAAAAATATTTATACTTGGTAAAAAATTTAGAAGGTTGAAAAAGTTTTGTCCAACTTGATTCTCCAGTTAATATTTCTCCCATTATGTCTAAGCTTGTTTTAAATTCATCTTGTATTATTGCTAATGTTGAATGTGAAACATTAAATGTAGAGTTTTGTTGAGGATAAACTGGAGTAATAATAGGCATGACATGACTTCTATCTCCCATATTAACTCTAGGATCCCAAACTGGATATCCAAGATCCATAAAATAAGAAGGTTTCAATAATACTGGTTGAGGCCATTGCCATTTAGAGAATATTAAAAAAAATTTATGTATCAAAGTAGCAGGTGCTGCATTTGGGTATAATTGACAAACTCTTGCAACTAACATTGCCCAAGATACTCCTCCAAGATATCCCAAAGCATTTGAATAAACTCTGTGACGTTTGGCCCACAACTTAATTGCTATTAGAGTTTTTTTGAAAGATTCTCGATTAGGAACTAATCGCAAAATAGAATCTGTAACACGGCAACCATTTAAACTTCTCACACACTTGGGGTTTAAATTTCTCAACAATTCATCTTGTTGAAGATCAGTATCTTCATGTACTTCTTTTAAAGCAAGGCGGGCAAATAACATATCTATTTCAATACCTTGGATGATCATTTTTATAACTGGAACAAAAGCTTCTTCTACAGCTCTTACATTTGTAATACAAGGGTTATCTTTTAATTTAGCATAAAATGTTGTAAAGTAATCAACTCTAGTAATATGTCTAGGAACAATTACAATTGCATCAATATCAGCTCCTTTGTGATATACTCCAAGTCGGTAAGATCCAAAAGTACATACCATTCCTCCTACATTTTCAGCAGTTACTTCAGGTAAATTACGTTCCACACTCACTTCTCTAATCCATTCTTTAGCTAAATTATTTAACATAGATAATACTTCTAATCTTTGTGATAGATCTTCATCAGTAGTAATAACTTTTTCTTTTAACAAAGCTTCATCTAATGATTTTGTTAGTTGTAAATCCATCTCTGTGGGGGGAGCATTACTTATTGCAGATGTCATTCCATACATTTTGATAAAATTGAATATAAAAAAATAGAACAATTGAAATTTTGATTTCTTTTAAACAAATGCAATATTTAAGGTTTATTAAAATGAACAATAATTTTTAAAAACTAGTTTTCACAATTTAACTATTCTTGTAAATAATAATAATAAAACATAGTATTACATAGTTAGATAGTAGATACCTAGTTCTGTGACTATAGGATGAATTTAAAATTTGCTTTTAGTTTGTATTTTGATTTAGCTTGAAAAGACCTGCAAAAATATAGAATATGAATCAACATAACAAACATTATTTATTAATTATATAACAACTGATTATACAAATAAACTTTCATTATTACCTTTTTTAAAAGTAGTTTAGCCCTTAGTATTTAAACTTTAAATACACTTTTGTTAGATATGACAAATTTAAATTTAGGAGGCTAATTAAATGTCTGTGATTATAGACAGAACTAAAATCTGGGTTATGGTTTAAGCTAATAAACTTCCTATTAATAATGTATAAATTAAATTTTATAATTGTAATTTTTCTTGTTAAAAAAAATTGTACATTAAATATGCAATTTGAATATATATTTTATTATTAAAATTAAATTATTGATTGTATAAATAATTTCTTTTATGGTATTTTGTTGTAATAGGTACAAAGATGTACCTACAGGAAAATATAGGTCAAAACACTCATATACACTTGACATATAAAAATATAAAAAGGAAAAACAAAAATTATAGCCGTTTCACAATAATGTAACGTAGTAGTCAAAATAAATTTTAACTACTACAACTAAAATGATAAGGGATGAAAAATGCACATGGCTGACACGTTGGTTCTACAGAGCATCGTAAAAAATAATAAGTATTTTGAAATAAGTTCATACGTACACAATTTTTTCTTCATTCACAAAATAAATTAATAAAAAAAAACACACACTAGAGATTTAAAAATATAAAAAGGAAAAGCAAAAAACGATAACTGTGTCACAGGTAACAACTAACGAACATCAAGCACATCTTTACTGACCAAATCAGCTATCAATATTAGCTGAATTAATTTGACTTATTGCCTGTAGAGTGCAGGCAGTTACAATACAGAACATAGATTTGCAATTGTACATATAAATCGAGTAAAATTTGTTTGATTACTATAGTAAAAATTCTTATATTAAATTTTGTAAATTACGTAGCTTATGCAATACCCATTGAATGTTAATAGTCGTATACCCATAAAAAATACAAAACAAAATATGACACGCCTCTCTTTTAGGATAAACAGTGCAGCCATAGTAAATAAATTATACTTTTGATTATAATTACAAAATACAGAAAGGATAATCAAAAAATTGCAATGCAATCCTGACCTCATAATTTAAACTTTGCATCATGAAAAAACTATCTGAGAATAAAAAATAGGTCATTTTATAAAAATTCAGACAGGCCATCTTCCCCACCCAAGTCATTTATAAAACTAAGTCCACTATAAATACTTGTAAATAACGAGCAACATGGGCGTAATTGATATGAAGTCTGTCGGGTTAAGGCTTTTTCAAAATATTTGCGTAGAACACACAAAAAATTGTCTTATTTTAGGGGAAATAGGCAAAGCAATATAGTAGAAATGTCGCCGTAATATCTACTCCAAGACATTGTATGTAATTAATCCTGACTATGTGTCTGATTTGTCTTATAATATACATAATACAACATTTTAGGCTCTTAACCAGGATTCTATTTCGATGGTAAGGATAGGAGTAGACACTGAAGTAAATCTCTGAATGAGTGTCTTGAATAGAGTATAGATTTATGTTCTCATTGTCGTGAGCCCATAATTATTTTGTGAATATTCGTTTTAAGGAATTTATATGTAACATTATAATTACTAGAAAGTAGAATTATGCTGTCAAATACTTTAATTGTAACACTAGTAAGTATTATAGTATTAATATTTTAATGATTATTTAATGAACAATGTAAATATAAAAGGGGACTTGACCATCATTTCGGTGGTCAGTTGCCAATCAGTTAATTAAAATTTTATATTTTCAGAAAAAAAGGCTTTCAGTTTGGTTTAAGTTGTAATTATGATTATCAGTACTATCAAATACTATCTAGCTGTGGTATCAGCTTTGATGTGATTCATCAGACAAAAACAAATAGTGTTATCTAATTCTGATACTATTTATTGGCCAATAATAATAATAATAAAATCGTAAAAAAAAATGATTGAAAAGTGTTACTTTTTAATTTTGTTTAGTTAGACACCTAATTTATTTTAAGATTTACACGGAATTAATATTTATTTCGTGTTACAATGAATATTTTATTTTTTCGTCTAAATAACTTAGTCTGAACTTATATAATCTAGTATCTATTTATTTTTTGATTTATAAATACAAAAAATAATAAAAGTACAAAAATGGGAATATTTTTTGGGAAACCTAAAACTAGCAGAATCACAGACTATGATCGAGCAGTTTTAGTATGCATTTATTTTTATTTCTAAATTGATAATATTATAATGGTCTCTTTTATTTAATCATTTGTATATATAATTTGTTTTAGCAAATGAAACAACAACGTGATACTTTAAAGCGCTATCAGCTAAGAGTAGAATTATTATTGGATAAAGAGAAAGAACTTGCAAAAAAATTAATTAAAGAAAACAAAAAAGAGTATATAAAATCAATTCAACTTTTTTTATGTTTAATAACAAATAATTAGTGGTGTCTATGTTAAAGTTAACGAATATATATATTCTTAAGTGTCAATTGTTTTATGTTATTGTAACAGTAACATGGAAAACAATTTTAAATACAACTCATTTGGTTGTAGTGGTTAATTTTTTATTTATTTACTAAAAATATAATATTAATAAATGATACAAATTAAGAGTTACAATCAATGAGAACAATAGAACTCCATTTCCTTATTTACTAAACCCTCCTATATATGTTATTACAGTTAAGGAAAAAGGAACATTCAATTATTTGAAATTCATATTTCCATTATTAGTAAAACTTATTATGTAAATTATCTATAAAACTATTTAATATAATACCACTAAGGCAAAAATGAGATTATTAAAAAATTTCCTTCATCATTTATTATCATAATTATAAATACAGAACATTTTTTATTTCTAATTTAAATAAATTTATTAATCATTATTCCATTATATGTATTTTAACTAAAACTTTAATTTTTCCATAAAAAATTAAAGCAATTATAATACTAAAATATTATAAGCTATTATCATTTTAAAAATTAAAATTAATTATTATACAAAAAATTGTATGAGTAATGTTCAAAATCTTGTCAAATTATCTGAATTTTAATTTTGTTATAAATATCTGTATGAATAAATAAATTTTAATTTGTGATAGAAAAGCAAAACTTCTTTTAAGAAAAAAGAAGTACCAAACAGAACAATTAGAACGAACTGAAGCAGCTTTAGATACTGTTGAAAAATTAATTCAAGATTTAGAGTATACTCAAATAGAGTCTAAGGTATAAAGCATGTATTATTTTTTTAAATTATGGCTTAAAAGAAATTTACAACTTTATCCATACATTATTCTCTATTTTTTATAATAAGAGTGATTTAAATTTTGACTAAATTTAAATACATATTATTTTCCAGTGAAAAATGAAGGATAAAATTTCAATTAATATATTAATATGTCTTTAATATAAAGCATACTAACAAGGAAAAGTCACGGTTAGAGAATCACCAATTTTTATAAAATTTATATGATTCTAATCTACATTAAAAATGAAGTTACACCAATTTTTGGCATTGCTCCCTCTCGAAAGGAGAAAATCGACTTTGAAACTTTGACCTAGCTTAAGTAGCCTTTTTTATACTTTTTAAAGTGCTCAAGGTATACAGTTCAGAACCTGCAGCCTGGAATGACTTTTCCTAAATTTTTTTATATTATTATTACAATTAGTATGTTTCACTTACTGGATGAGTTACTTTACTGTAAAATTTATAGATTTTTGAAAATTCATTGAATAGTGTTACAATGCAAAAGCACCATCCAATAACAAATAAAAAATTTTTATTTAAAACAGCTTAAAAATTTCCTAATATACACTTTGTCTACTAAAAGCTGATAGGAGCTCAATTATACATCATTCTAAAATTATTGATTGAAATTTATATTATTAATGCAATTTATTTCTTTAATAAGAAGCTATATTTGTCAAAGATATAATTATATAATTTAAGCTTTTTGGTTAATAATTCATTAAAAAAAATATAATTTTTAAACTTTTCAAATAAGATGTCATAAACATGACTATTAGGCATTGTTCAAAATATTAGTTTCCCAAAAGGATTTTTAACTTTTTATCAACCAAATTGAGTGTTAATAAGTTAGTGAGCCATATCGACTGAATTTTTTCTTAAAAAATTGATATACCTCTGAAGATATATTTTTAACTATTACCTAGTTAAAAAAAACAGCTTATTAATTTGGTGTTTTACTAATATAAAATTTTGATTTAAACTATGTATTTTATTCTTAGGTTATTGAAAGTCTTAAAATTGGAAATAATGCTTTAAAAAAAGCTAATGAATTGTTGAATGTTGAAGAAATTGAACAGTTGTTGGATGAAACAAGAGATGGAATTGAAAAACAAAAAGTGAGTAAAAATAAAGTGAAATAATAAGTTTCAAACACATTTTATAAAATTAAAACAACTAGTTATTAAACTAGTGAGAGTTTTAGTGATTGTTGCTTTTGAATGAATTAGTTGAAAACTCAAAAAAATTATTTTATTGGCTTTTCAAAAATTAAATCTTAGTTACTCTTGTTAAATACTAACTCTTCTACTCAGTATAGAAATTTAATTAAAGTGTGAACATCCAACCATCTTTACCGAAAGTGTTGCTAAGCTACTTTATCCAACTATAGTACTTTCTGTTGTGTTTATTAATATAACATTTAATATGCATTGTAAAATTGATCTTTTTACTTTTTTCAATTCGGAGCGATCAGGGCTGCATAGTTTTAATACCCCTGGACTGTTTACTTCCTAATATGTACTTGAAATTATATAAAAATAATTATTTTTAAAAAGACCATAAACCTTTCGTTTATAACATACTTGTAAATTTATATATAAGTTAATTTGGTTATTTTTATAGGAAATAACTGATTTGCTAAGTGGAGCCTTATCAATTGAAGAAGAAATAGCTGTTGAAACTGAATTAGAAGAATTAATTTCTTTGGAACATCAAAAGATCATTGATAAATTACCTGATGTACCATCTAATCATTTACCAACTATAGTGACAGGTTATTTTCTTGAAAATTTTCAATATCATAAAAATGTTTTATTTGATTGTATATTTTATTATTAGATACCAAAGTGGAAGAAAAAGAATCACCAAAGAGAAAAATAGCTGTAGAAATTTAATAGTTTACTCATGTTATCAAGTTTCAAGAAGTTAATTTGTACAATATTTTATGACTTTTATACATCTGTCTTTATTATTCTTAGTTTTTCTTTTAGTTTTGTAATATTTTTTTATATTTTATTTTAATCTGTTGTATTTTACTAAATATTTTGAAGAAAAAAGGTAATACTTTTAAAAAATGGTTCACTTTTTTTATAGAATACCAAAAATTGATTAAAAAAAAAATAATAATAAAAAACTTATTTTTATTTTGAAGATTTGTGTATTACCACTGATATATTTGCAAATAAATATATTTGCTAAATTATACAAACCAACATCATTACTTATTACAGTATTCATATTTTATTAAATCGAAATATCACTATAATAAAAATGTCTTAATGTTATAAGAAGAAAATAAAAATTATATAAAAATAAAAATACATATTAAGCATACACATCTTCACGATCAGCACCTACTCCATCTCCGTCTTCAAGGGATGAAAAATTTAAAAAATGAGCAGGTCTATGAATTTCATGGTAAAATTCTTTTGGGTTAGCCAATTGGAGTTCATACTTCATATTAGCATCATGTCTCACTCCTAAATAATACATTTTTTTAGCATAAAATTAGTAATTACGTATTTAAAATATTTATTTGATCAGACACAAACCCATGAAGTTATAATTCCATGATCCTTGTGCTGGAACCATAAAGAAACCAAGAAATCTATCTGACAATAGCATTTGTACTTTTTCATAATGACTTGGTAAGTAACCTTTAGGGTTATTACCCTTATCTGTATTTTGTCTTCCCCACTCAAAACCACTTAAAAAAATGAATATATTTTCTTAATACTATTTATTTTCTAGTTAGGAAAGTATTTTAGTTTTACAAAGAAATAAGATATTGTTCATTATCATCTTCTTAGCCTCTATATAAACTATTTGGGGATCTGGACAACTGAATGATCCACTGTGCCACACCATATCTCAAGAAATAAGATATTATATTAAAAAGTTATTCTAATGCACATCAATGAATTGTCTTAAAATCACTATTTTGTTACTATTTCAGCATATTTCACCCAAAATTTTTACTATTTTTTTTTTTTGTCAAACTAAATTTAATAGAAGAACGGAATTTTCTTGAAAAAAAAAAGGCACTAATTATGACAGGATCTTTTTTTTATAAAGATATTATGATAGTATATTTTATGGTCATAACTTTAAGAAATTTTCATAAAATTTTAATTAAAATTATAACACAAGCCAACTTTTTAATTTTTGATTGCCCTTAGAAGAATCATTTATAAATAAACATTTTACTAATATAAGATATTATTATAGAGTATTGGATAGAATAATTTACCTGGGAGTCAATTTATAGGCCGTTAATGAACAAGATCCAGGTGTAAAACTGCAAGTAATAATAACAGTTTTTTCTCCATCCCATGATGAATTATCAGACATAATTTTAGCATGTGTACTTATATCCTATATAAATAACAACACTTTAAATTTAACACTTTTTCATAGTTAGTAATGTTTACTTGTGGGGATAATTGAGGTAATTCATTAGGCTGTGTGTGTATCCAACCAAGTGGTTCCATGTCTGTAAGATAATGATGATTATTAGGCAGTTGAGAGGGAACATGAACCGTTTGGTGGGTTCCCCATTGTGGTGGCATTACAAGACATCTAATTTCTTTTACTTGAGGATTATCAGGAGGGCTAACACCATAAAGATAAGCACAAATCTAAAAAAATGTTTGATTATTAAAAATAAAGAAGTGTTAAATGTGTTAGAGCTTTGATAAATTGTTGCATTATTTTAAATATTTTCAACTGTTTATTTATTCATATGTATTTAGTTGAGTGCTAATCTTTCAAACTCATTGCAAAATCCAACATTGGATATTTGTAGTTATAGGTTTGAAGTTTTAACTATACTATCAGTTTAGTTTGTTAACTTCTTGTTTTTATGTCAATTAATCAACTGATTATTAGTACCTTCATTATCCATTACTTGTACAATATTGATAAATATATACCAACTATATGTTGATTATCAGTATAAAAATAATAAGTAAACAAACTAAGCTTACAGTGTAGTTATAAAGTTAGACCTATAACTATCACATTGAAGTTATATTCTGCAATGAGTTCAAAATGACAGAACACAGTTGAATACATGGAAATATTATTGAAAATATTTTAAATAATGGAGAAATTAATATTATATAAAAATTGATAAACAAAATATATTAGTATTTAATTAGTTTACTATGGATTAAATTTCAAATACATTTTTAATTTACTTGAAATTAAAAATTAATAGTTTAATAAACCATTAAAATGTATTTTTATAAAATGAATAACACTATAAGTGATTCAAGAAAATATTAATATACAAATTAATTATTTATTTTTAAAATAAGTTTTAAGGTAGAAAAATATAAGATAATTTTAAACTATTTTCCTAGCAAAAATATTTTTATGGATATCATACCTGGGCTCGTAAATCAGATATTGTAACAAATTTTTTTAGTACATTTTTAGGAAGTATATATGTATAACCAGTTTCTTTAATATCATCAGAAGATACATAAATATGATTGGTACGTAAATGAAGATTGGTTGCAGATATAGCACGAACTCTCCATTCAGTTTTTGAACTAAACAAAATAAAGAAGAATAATGATAAAATTGTGAAAAATAAATCAATTTTAATGTGCAAAATTTCACTTAAAAATTACATTTGCTTGTATCCTTATTAATTTTTATTATTAAACATTGATAATAAATAAGGTTAATCATTTACTCTATTAATTATCATAACAATGTTATATTTGAAAATATCTAACGACACTTAATATTGCTATTTGTTTTATTATTTATTACTGAAAATTTAAAAATAACTCAAATATTATTTATTTAAGAATTGTAATTTTCCATAATTATCATTTAATAAATTTTTTTTTTTTTACAGATTCAGCTCTAAAAAACCCAGCACAGTGGGGTGGCGGCACAATAGGGTCGTGGCATAGTTGGGTCCAGTATAGATGATATCTGACAGTGATTAAAATCACTATCATAAAAAACATTTCGATGCAAATCTGTAGATAGTGTTTAATTAAAAAAAAAAAAATTTGTCAAAAAAGTAGTTCAAGTGACAGCTGAGAAAATAAATGATAGCTACAAAAAAAAACATAATAAAATAATATTAATATGAATTTATTCTCACGAGAGTAGACTACACTATCCATGATATTTATTGAAGTTATTAAATCTAAATGAAATAAAAATCAAATGAGTTAAACATTTTTTTCTAACTCAAAAAGAATTAAGAAAAAATTCAGTGCCACAGTGTTACCGTCTTAGAAATCGTACCTTGCATTCGTCACTTAATAAAAATGAAAATTTAGCTAGTTCAAATTTTAAAGTTATTTTTCTCGACTTCAAAGAAACAAAATAATTTAAATAAGTTTAACTTTTTATACTATGTAAATTAGATTGATATAATATTTATGAAAATCAGTGTAATCCCCTTATAATAAAATAAAATACAAAATCAAGATATTTAACACAAAAATAGCATATTTTTGAATACGGTAGCTATTTTCACCATGAAGAAAAAATAAAGTCCGAAATTTTTTTTTTTAATATTAAAGTATATATAATTTAAAAGATATATATAAAAGTGTCAGTATTTCCGTAACACTTTCAAAAATTAAGTTGAAAAAGTTCTACTTTCTTTAAGTATTTTAAAGATTTGAACCCCCCTGTATTAAGGGAAATGGTCTGATTTCAAAAAAAAGTACGTCGAATGAAAGAAGTATATAAATATTATTTATCATAAAAAAATTGTATTGATCCATACATTTTTCAAAAAATTATAACATTTTAAAGTTATAAATGTAAAATATAAAATCGAAAATTTTAACACAAAAATAGCATACGGTAGCTATTTTCACCGTGAAGACAAAATAAAGTCCGAAAATTTTTTCCCCCATAATTAAGTATATTACATTAGCTTTAATTTAAGATATACATAAAAGTGTCAGTATTTCAGGAACACTTTCAAAAGTTAATTTTTTGTCAAAAAGTTGTCATTTTGAATCCCCCCTGTGGGCTGGTAAAGGGTTAAATGTATAAAAAAAAATTTACCAAATAATAGGTAAAGACATCAAGCATCTATTAAAAAAAAAATTATATTGATTTGTTAATTTTTGAAAAAGTTATGGCAGTTTTAAATAAAAAGAATTTCGAAAATTAGCGATTTTTAAATTTATAATTTTTTTGGAGGTATCCCCTATTTATGGGGAACGAGGAAATTTTTTTTTCAATTTTTGAGGGTAATGTCTTCGACTAGATACAATTTGAGATCTTTAGAAGACGTATCGTTGAAAGAAATCAGTTCGGTGAGAGCTGAGAAAAAGTGGTAACAGAAAAAAAAAAAAAAAAACACATAGTAAAATTAATACCTTCTAAGCTTCGCATCAAAGCTAAAAAATTTTCAGTGGCACATTAAAAATTAAAAAATGAAGTTATGAGAGCACACTTATTAGGGCAAGTTAATTAATTGGTAAAAATAATTTTACATTTAGAAGGCATTACAAAAAAATGTTTTATATATTTACTTTAATATTAGTAAGCAGTCAGAAGGAAATATTGTATCGATATACTAAACAATCAATAAAAAATACTACTTTATTAAATTATTTTTAGGTTAACTGTTTAGTTAATACAGTTGTATACTTATTAGGCTTTAACCAGCTCCATGGTTTAAGAGACCCTGCATATGGCAGTGTTATAGTTAAGGTTTTGTTTTTAGGGGGATATACACAAAACTATAAAAAAACTATTTCCTCCTAAACAAAATTTTCTTTATCTTTATCTAATAATTATTTTCACAAGGAAGATCTATCCCACTTCAACTCCTTCCCTTCTGGAATAGGAGCAAAACCTAGCACTCTCACTAATTAGAGAATTTGATTCTAAAACTAGAATCTTGTGTATAAATTTAATATACCTGAATGTTTGTGTTTCATAGTTTGAAGTGGTAGAAGTAATTATGTCATCTCCATGTTTGTTTACAGTTCTTGTGGTCGTGGCTGTCAATTGTGATTGTTCCTTTGTTTGTTTTTCTATTTCTGCAATTTGTTGTCTTTGTGCTGATGGAGCGCTTATTTCCATTCCCAGAATAATATCACGAATTTCAGATTGTGTTAAAGAAGCTACATTAACACTAAAACATAAATACACATTTATAAGTATTAATTTCTATACTTTAAATATTTAAAAAACAAATATAACAAAGTTTTTAATGAGATAAAATGTTTGTAGAATACAAAATATTATTTTGTAGTGATTTATAATTAATATATTACTTATTTTTTTTTCCATAATCAGCTAAAATTAGATCTTTCAATTGAACTTCCACTTTAATCCATTCATCATCACTTAATGTAGGCCAAATGTGATGAGGTTCTGTTATAGTTGTTTTGTCTGGTTTTAAAACAACTTTGGTACGCTCAGTATTAACATGCAAAGCTCTTAATATTAGAATTAATCGTGAAAATGCCTGAAATCAAGTATAATATTTTAACAAACAATTAAATTTTTTTTAATAATTATTTACTGTATAGGATGAAATTGTCTTTAACCAATCATCATATAAATTGAATAAAACCATTTGTGGCTCTGTAGCTTTTAAAATGAGGTCACCAAATTTCTCAACTTTTAAGCATGCTTGGAAAGGTAGCTGTAATTCTGAACCTTTTATCACAATATTTGGAAAATCTAAGAGATGAACCTTCACAATCATAAAAGAGACTTAATTTAGTTAAGTATTCATTTAATATTAACTTTAATTCTTTAAAATAAATCATGTTACCTCGAGAGGATCTAACATTCCTTTTCGAGTCACAATAATTTGTTTTGGTTGTTCTTCAACAGGTAAAGAACGTATCAAAGCAGCAACTTCTTCAGCAGTTTTCCATTTTGCTAACTATAATTATTAATTAAATAATAAATAGTAACTACAGTAATAAATAATTAAGGAATATCGAGGAGAATGTAGGGCAAAATGAAATTTGTGCTTTAAAAAATATCTAATTGTAATTATGAAATCAAAATGTTTTAAATATATTTCATTATATATGTTCTTTAATAAAAAAAGATATTTTCCATTTAATTTATTATTTTTTATGTTATTATTAAATATCTTTTTGTTCAGAATTTTTTATCAGAATTTTGAATTTTATGAATTAATATATTAAATTTCAAATAGAAATTTTACTGAATTCAAGGCAAGTTTAATTATTTGAAATAGTTTAATATAGTTTTCAATTTTGTTCACATTTAAATAGATAGATTAAAAAAAAAAAAATTAAAAAAAAGTACAGTGGGGATGTGGCATAGTTGAGAAAAGTATAGATGATATTTAACAGTGATTAAAATCACTATCATAAGAAACGCTCCACTCCAAACCTGTAAATAGTATTTAATTTTAAAATTATCCATAAGCAACACCAACTACTATTTTGTTAATTATATTCTGATTAGTAGTTCTTTGATTTTTAAGTATAACATATGAATAAATACTTTTTATAGTAATAAAATTTGGTATGAAATTGATATTCAATAATTTAATGTAATTGTTACAGGGAAATTAAAAAAATTATAAAGTAGTTGTTGTTTTTATGCAAACGTGTATAAAAATTGAAGGGCTTGATGCAATACTTTTCAAAAAAATAATGAGAAGAAGAAATTTAGTAGTTTGACGGAGGAGCCTTAAAGAATAAGGTTTTTAATACCAGGCGGACAAAACTTGTATGGTAGCTGCTTCACTAGTTATGTGTACAAGTTGGCCTACCCAACACTTGTAGTGTCAACAGCGTTGAGACATCATCACTCAACTTTAGGCTGGTTCCATATATAAAGGAGACAGATAGATGCAAAGTAAAAATAGGTACGTGGAATATTGAAACATTAATTGGTAGAAGTATTGAAGAGGAAAAAAATTTAAATTTGTTGTATGCAGAAAACTAAGTGGAAGTGAGAGAAAGCAAGGAAAATAGTTAAGGTAATAAAATATTATACTCTGGTAATTCTAATACAAATAATAGTGTAAGGATAATAATGGATGAGTAGATGAAAAGTAAAGTAGCTAGTAAAAGTGACAGAATTATAATCGTAAAATTAATTTTCGAAGAAAAAGGGTTGAATGTAATAAGTATCTATGCACCACAAATAGGATGTGGTGATGAAATAAACAAGGGGAATTATTTTGGAGATGGATTAAGTGACGTAAAGAAGACCTGGTAATGAGGATGCGGTGACAGGTGGAGATATGAATGGGCATGTAGGTAATGAGAGGAGAGGCTATGAAAGGGTACATTGAGGGTATGGTTTTAGTGAGAAGAATGAGTATGGATTTTATAGTGTTGTATGATCTTGCTGTGGTTAATACTTATTCTAGAAAGAGAGAAGAACATTATACAACTTAAAAGAGTGGGAGAATAGATCACAGATTGATTATTTTAAATCAAAGAGAGAGAGAGAGAGAGAGAGGAAAGCAAATAAAAGATTGTTAAGTTATTCTAGGCAGTAGTGTAACTACACAACATAGACTGATGGTAATGAAGTTGTGGTATAGTGGGAGGAGAGTATATAAAAACAAAAGAACACAAGAAAAGAATTGAGGATATGGAAATAGGTGGTGGAAATTGAAGAGGGGAAAAAGAATAATTTTTAGTAATTGTAAAAAGAGAGGGCTTTATGGATGTCGAGGGAGACATAAATAATGTGTGAGATAGATTTGCTAATTATGTTAAGAATACTGCAAAGGAGATTGCTGTTGAGAGTAAAAGAATGCCAGGAAACAAGGAAACTCGGTAGTGGGATGAGGATGTCAGAAAATCTTTGAGTAAGAAAAAGCAGTTCAAAGTATGACAGAAGAGCAAAAGGAGAAGATTGGATGGAATATAAATGCTTGGGTAAAGAAGCCAAGTGTGCGGTAACTAAGACAAAATTTAAGCTGTATGATAGGCTAGGAACAAAGGAAGGTGAAAAAGAAGTCTATAGACTTGCAAAAGTAAGAAAAAAAGTCTAAAGATTATCACAATATAAGATGTATAAAAAGAGATGATAAAAGGATGCTATTGAGTGATGATGACGTGAAAAAAAGGTGGAAAGAGTATTTGAAAAATACATTAAAGGATATCTTGGGGAACGAGGAACTAGTAGAATTAATTAGTGAGGTATGGAAAGCTGTGGCATTAATGAAAAAGAATAAAGCAGTAGAACCAGATGAAGTGCCAAAGATTAATAATTCTGTCAAATTTTAATTATATAGAGATTATTATTAAAATGAATACAAATTACAAGAATTTAAATATTATTTGTTATCAATANTGAATACAAATTACAAGAATTTAAATATTATTTGTTATCAATACTTTTGGTAATATTAATCACATTAATTAAATAATCAAAGTAGAAGTATAACATTTTGTGTTCTACTTTCATTTTCTAAGTTAAAAAAAAATTTATAATTTATTATTAAGTTAATTCTTAAAAGTAGAATTTTGGTCACTTAAACTACAAGATTTGTGATTAAATGATGTTAATTTTATCTCTCTATTATTTAATATGTTAAGGCTATTCAAACCTTAAGGTTGTTTTGTCTTACATTCGCCTAATATATATTCCTTTACATTTGTAATAAAAGTATACTCTTATTATAAATTAAATTAAAAAAAAAAAATGAATCAACAAATAAAAGTGTAATTACTTGACCCAAACGTTTTTGACCAGCCCAGACTGAAGTATGAATAATTTTTAAAAACAACTGTCCAGTGCGAGGATTAAAAATAAATATTGCGCCATTAATAGGTTTAGTTGTTAAATTTCCTTCAAAAGTTTTATGAATTGTAACTCTGTATACATTGGTATCATCAACAAACCTAAAATTTTATTCATAACACATTAGTAAAGAAACTTGAAGGAGAATAATACAATTACAAGTCTTTTTTTCAAAATCACTTATAATAAGGCTACTAGAAGTTTAAAATCATTAAATTCCCTCATTTTTAACAATTTAAAAAAAAAAATTTTCTGGTTTAAAGAATGTGAGTATATATTATTTATGTAGGGGGATTTCATAGAATTACCTATTATTTTTATTTTTACTTGAATACAATTTGGAATTTTCAAAATATTTAGAGGAAAAAATTCAAAACCCTTTACTTAAACTCAATAAATATTTTAAGTTAATATGAAGTTTCTAAAAAAAAATTTTTTTTATTTTAAGATCTTCTAAGTAAAATCATCAGAATCCTTGATATTTTCATGGTTTTTCCAACTATTTATAATACCCGGATTCTTTTACAGTTTTTTGACTAATGGCAATCACTACATACAAAAATTTTCAATTGACAGTCACTTTATAAAAAAAACGGTAGCACAGTG